GGCTGCTGGATGGGGTGGGAATGGACTGCTGGATGGGGTGGGAATGGGCTTCTGGATGGGGTGGGAATTGACTGCTGGGTGGGGGTGGGAATGGGCTGCTGGATGGGGTGGGAATGGACTGCTGGATGGGATGGGAATGGGCTTCTGGATGGGGTGGGAATTGACTGCTGGATGGGGTGGAAAAGAAAAAGAAAATAATTTTGTTCAGAAGATAGACGGTTGTTATTCAGTAATTCTTGCTATATTATTCAGAAAAGATGTAAATGTTTTTGAAGACCGACGACACAATAATTAGTCATTTTTAACAATAATGTAAAAAAAACGTTTTCTTGTAAAATCATGTTGGTTTTTCTGAAATGTTCGCAATGCATGCCGGTCAGTAATGTTTCCGCTAGACCTGGTGATTCCTTGAATGGTTTCTTTGAAACGAGGCCGCTCAAATAAGCTGCATTGCATTTGTCGGTTGAAATAACATCTTTGTATGTTGCCATCAAATGCGATATCCCAAAACAAAGCACAAACTGGCACTGCCGTGCTAGTTGCGAAATGAGATAGAATGCGGAATTTTTGGTTTCGATGGACAAATCAGACAATGTAAGCACAGCGGTACAAGATAACTGCTCATAGAGCGAAACGGTTACAAAATTTCTGACATGCACACTAAATAAATGATACTACAGCAAACTGTTTTGCATTAAATATCAGTGTTGGGTGAAATCGAGACAACTAAACGTGGCTGCCCGATCCCGTGGAGACGAGCCCTGAAACGGTTCGGGGCCCTACTCGCGGTATCATTCACGGTGGTGCAGTAATTGTCAAAAAACTAGTTTAGGGAGGCTGAACATGCTAAAAACCAAGAGCAAGGCATTTTTATACGGCTTTAGGTACAGTGCGAAAAAGTCCGGGGGGGGGTTGTAGGTCTAAGCACAAACTGGTTATGATCCTTTTCTGGGTCCAAAAGCCGCAAAACCGTGCAAATATTAGCCAAAATCCTCAATCTATAATGAAATGAAGCGCAAAGACGCGGCCACAACGGCAAAACGTGCAGTGACAAAAACAGCCAACTACTCAATCATAAGAAAAGGAAACATTGCTAGAAATAGCTGCATACAGTGCTGAGGAGAGGGGGCCCTTGGCTATAGGGGCCCATAAATAATAATTCAATTTGAACAATTTCTGACCAATAATCCAGCCTCTCCATTACCACAAACTGTCATGAAAAGAGACAATAATGCAAAAGTCTATGAATGAATTAAGATGGAGCCAGTTCGAGTCTTCATTACCTGAGGGTTAAAAATATTTTTGGTAATAATTTCTCGTCTTTGTGAGCCTGAGCTAAAAAAGTTAAAAAGCTTCTGAATGTTGCCAAAAAATGTGATTGCAACAGACAGCCTACAGCCACATGCATGCTATACAGATATGCATGCGCATCTATTTGCAACAGTGTGTCGGTAGTGATAAATAAGTTAACAAATTAATCATTTTCTATTTTCTAAGACTTTAAAATTTCTAAGAAATTTTCATTTTCATGCATCATTGTGTTTAAATATCAGTTATGCTTAAATTATATAAAATAAAAACAGAATTAAAAGCCACCAGACAATGGCCAAGATAGGAAAATTCATAGGAGGGGTGAGAAACTTAGATTTTTCGACAAAAATTTAACAAGCATTAATACTATTTTCCTAAATTTTAACATAACATAACGACATCGGAACAGAAATAAATAAATGTTTTGATATATTCAGATATTCATATGTTTATTCAACTTTAAATTCTTTCCTATCAAAACATAGCAATTGAAGAAACATAGACAACCATGTTAAATTTCCGACAATACAAGAGGATTTCCGGAAAAATAACAGTTTAGCTCTACAGGGGGTTTTTTGCCCCCTCTGACCCCCTTCTATATACGCCACTGCCACCAGAGCAGTTAGTCACCATAGCAATTCTAGCAACCAAAATAGCCGCCATGGTAATTTTAGCAACCAAAATAGCCACCATCGCAATTTAAGCAACCATCATTTTCAAAAATTCATGGGGGAGCATTCCCCATGCCCCTAGAAACATATGCCTTAGACAAGTTTTACCATTTATCTTTCGTCCTGACCCGGGGCCCATAAAACCTCTCCGCGGCTCTGGCTGCATAACAAGTTTTTTATGGTTCTCACTCTGTCTCACAGAACAAGCTGTTGCGTTATTTGAAACCTTCTCTATTGATTACATATTTTCAGAGTTACACATCCATATCCTTAAAGATGTAAACCGTTGCCAATTTACACTGAAAGACGCAAGGCACCTCTTGTGCCGAACCGCAATCCGTAGGCCGCATGTAGGAATGACCTGAGCAGATCGGCACTGCGGTGGTAATCGGGGTCGATATCGCCAATTTATGAAGCGTAAACATGGTGCAACAACTTTTTCCGAACATCGTTTCTAGTTTTCGATTTAGAGACATTCTAATACAGCAAGAAAATATATTTCTGTCTCGAAAAATAGCGAAAATCTTGGATTCCTGTTGAAGAAGAAAAACGATTTTATTTGTTACCATATTAAAAAAAGAAATGAAAAGTTTAAAAATGGATAACCTGAGGATGGATAAATTTAAAAACAAAGAAAAAGTCCCCGACACGCGACCGTTGCTTTTCAGAAATATAAAATGAATTTCTGAACAGAAAATCCTAAACGAAAAAACTCGAGATTTTTATGAGACACCGCTTCGAAGTAAGGTCATTCCCTTCGAAACACTGCCGCTTAATCAGAGCAATTCAATAAAGAGATCTGAGTGGATTATAATTCGCTTTGAATCAAAGTGCGTCGTGTAACATCATACCACTACGATCAGATACCCGTTCAGAAGCACATCAGACGGCAGAATCACTCTGGTGACGTAAAACAGAGAACGGGCTTCCAAAAAACAAGGTATGGAGTTTAAATACAATTCTATTAGTTGTGTGTAAACATCTTTCAGAATAGGCTTTGAACTTTTACCAATAAAATACTTCTTCCCGAGTAATGATTATTGATAAGATTTCATTATTGTTTCATATTGAAATCAATGCTTATAACATACTAGATACAATAACATACTAGATACACATTTTGTCTACACTAATGCCTTTTTATAAGAAAGTTTTAGCTGAGTTTTTGCCACTACTGCTTTCAAAGGCCACAGACAAACTGTCTCATTTGTTTGCCCTACTCACACCATTTGAGCACTAAAAATACCAGTTATAACTGAAACCAAATCCTCAACGAAAGCAGAAAGAGTCATTTCACGGCCATGCTCCTCCCCGCCTTGCATTTCCCAATTAGTGAACTATTGTTGTCATTGATTTATTCAAATAATTACCTTGGTAGCAGTAAATATTTTTAAACAAAAAAAACAATCATTATTGATAATTTTTTTGCCTCATACATGAGGTGAAATGAACAATAATCTAAAAATTCAAGAACTTAGGAAATGTAAAATCCATAGAGTGTACTAAGGTGATAAAATGCTATAAAAATGGTTTCCATTCATCCAGGGTAAAAAGTTCTTTTTCTATTTCATAGAATCTCTAAAGATAGAAGAAAGAAAAAGGAAATTTAGAAAATTTAAAGACAGAAGAAAGAAAGGATAAAAGCATTAAAGAAACTTTAAAGATAGAGAAGGAATTCCAAGAAACCCTTTACTAGTGCACATAGCGTTTGTAGATGATTATTTAAACTTTCTCTTAAAGAAGAGAATTAAACAGAAAGATTTTGAATGAAGAGAGAAGTAGACAGAAATTTATGACCTACACCATAGCAGAAGGCAAGCAAACCTAAAGCAGTTCGTAAAAGAATCAAATGAGGGGTTCAGAGCTACCGCAACCTTTATTGTCTGAAAACAGTTATGAAACGCCTAGCATGGACGCCAGAGAAACAGCTGGTACGTGCAAAAGACCGAAATGCGAGCACATCAAAGAGCCATTACAGTTGCCCCAACTAGGCAAAAGGCAATCACTCGTAACTCATCGGCGTCCAACTCCATTCATAAAAAATTCCGTATACAAAGTTGAAAGGTGGAGAAACGAGGTGATGGAACAAGTAAGTAACAGTAGCTTTCACTCTTCCCAGCAACATATGTATCCAGAGAGTAGAAGACCAGGGCAGAGCCGTTTGCTGCAACGGGGCAGAAATATAGGAAACGGTAATTTACTGCAGCTAGGTAGGACCCCAGGAAATGAGACTCTTTGCAATATTCATGGATCAAATAAGAGTGAAGATACAACACACCCTACGAAAGGCACAGAACGCCGTGTTATCAGGAAGATGAATTCGGAATCCCAGTTGAGCGAACTGAAAATGAAGCTGGCACGGGATGGGGCGCAGAGGTCATCTGCATTTAGAGGTACAAAGAGTGACAGATTTAGTGGCACGTTTTGAACAATCTAGAGTTGAGTCTTTATGTGTTATATGATCAGCACACACTTTCCTTGGCGAAAATCAGTACTAATAAAATGTATTAATTTCATCAAACCAAACTGTAAAATGATCAAACATATCACTGTTTTTAATGACCAAGTTGAGTACAAACTTATTCATAGTAGTAGAAATGTTTTAGAAAAAGCTCGTTTTAGCAGCTTCAAGGTGCATAAATAACGATTTTGTACTACAGCTTGTTTAAATGGTGACTTTCTTTCAATGAAAATGTACTTCTGCCTAGTCTATTACCAGGCAATGTTGGGCATGATTACTGTTCTAGACTGCCAAAAAACCAGATCATATATTATATCCAAATACATATAAGACGTAATTACATTAATAAAATACAAAGTATTGTAAGATATAATCGATTAAAATAATGTCAGATAAAAAGTTCAGTCCGTAAAAAATAACGATAAAATTAAGTTATAGTCATTTCAACCGACCTCTTTTTACCGGTAAGGTATTTTCATATCCCAAAAGTACTCACAGGCGCAAAATTAATAATATATGGATGTTTATAAAGAAGGACGTTAGATTTACAGGAAATACACATTTAAAAGGCGTGATTTATGTCAAATTGCTTATTTTGTAAGAAACGCACACATATTCCAGCGTAAAAAACTGCACAATTTTCAACGCGAAAGGTTTTAATTCGGGTCCATTTTCCAAAGCAGATGGCAGGCCTGTTGGTAATTTATGCATTCTACAGAGAAAAAATTCCTTTTTGACACACTGTTAGCATTTCAGTGCTTCAGCTCGACAACTCTGTGCAATATTCTTTCAACGTTTTTTAAGATACCATAAACAAATATGGAGTTTATATCTGCTTCACTTATTGTTTATTTAGAAAAGACCACTTAATTTTGAAGATATTTGTATTCATGCAAACTGGATATCATCCCCCATTTAGAATACCAAAACGATTTGCGAATGCTTTCTTGGAAATAGAGCCACGGTGCATTATATGAAATACCTTCCTTTTATGCAAAGACAGAAGACAGAGTTAGGTCCTCCCTCATCAGTTAAACAGAATAAATCACATTGAATTCTGAAGGCATTAAGCTAAAGGACGTAACAGAGGCCAAAAATCCGCCAAATATCCACCCTAACAAGCTTAAAATGAGGATTTGCAGCTAAACGATTTCTATAACAATGCCATTAAAATTTTTTTGAAGCTTTTGATGTGTACAATGGTTCAAAGAAAATTTAGATCCTTCTATGTACTTAAAAGACTTTCCAAATCCAGAAATACACAACATAAACGAATACCAAAGATTGCTTTAATCAAAAGAAGTCGACTTTCTGACGTGGCAACAACAACGTAGCTTTTTTAGCCCAACTGGCCTCGTGTAACTCACTTAATCTGTTACTTGTTTTGAAGCTAACTGTAATGATAGTAGGGTAATTAGACAATTCCGTTTCATTTCGTTGCATGGGCGAATTAATCAAATTTACATTCAAAATATTCGCTGACGTAATATTCATAATTATACAATGAAAATAACATATGTTCAATTGAATAGAATTGTTCTTCCAATATTCTTCCTATTGTGTCCCTTGACCAAGGGATATACCAAACGAAAGAAAACCATTGAAAAGTAGCTGAGGCGTTGTTCGTGTTGACTACAAGATGACGAGCTCTTCAACGTTGAATCACGGAACTCTTCAACGTTGAATCCAATTTTTTACCTCATTGGTTGAATCAAGATCTTGAACTCTTTATCGCCTACACACCGAATCGAGGCTCGATATGTCTACTACACGAATGCACCGCTTATTACACTTTGACAAGTAAGGTGTATTCCTATTAGCTACGAGGAGGTTTCTTAAATCTTGAAAGTAAAGAAATTGCATGTTTTTATATATTCCTTCGATTAAAAGTTCTTGAAAATCTTTTTTATCTTTAAAGCAAAGAATGATGCCTTATATTCTTCCAAATATTTTTTGATAGCATAACGAAAGGCGCATGGATTACAGAACAATGTCCGATAATCTGGGAGTCGTCTTTTATAGACCTACAAAGAACAAACTACATTCACAGCCGCGAGCGGAGGACGGGCTAAAACCTCGGAAGCTCTGATAATACTGAATCTATTAACGGTGAATATTTCCTTAAAAATTTTAAGTCAGCTCTATTGGGTGGATAGAAGGGAAGGTTTAGCTGAAAGTGGGGTCGTTCACATTTAACGTTTCTGCTAATTTCCTTTTTTTCCAAGCAAGCGAAATCACTAAAATAATAATAGTACCGAGTGGATATAAGATCGTTATAATAAAAGAAAACACACCAAAAATCGTTACGGGGCAGGCAAGGCCAAGGTTAACATAAATGTACCAAATAAGAAACACCGCAATGCGACGAGAATGAACAACACCAAATACAGGTATAACATAAATGGTTGTGAGTAAAAATAAGAAAGCTGAACGATACTTGCAGTTTAAACCCAAATTATCATCTATATGAAAGAAACCCCAGGAACACCTCCATAGGCACGATCAGGACCTACGTCGGATACTACATTGCATCAGAAACTACATGATACCACTATCTTTTCAAGTGGATCCGATCTTGAGATAACATTGGAATCACTTGAAAGAGATGCTTGCTTTTTATTTCAATGGTTTGAAAATAACTGCATGGAAGCGAACAAAGACAAATTTCATCTTCTGTTGCCACTTATAACCTCTAAATTTCACAAATTGCAAACAGTTGAAAACCATAACAAAAGGACACGTCGTTGCAGAGAACGTTCCTGGTAAAAATGTAACCAGCCACGCCAACAAAGTGGCTCTGGCAAACAGCCAGGCAATACCAAAAAAATAAAAAGAATCATTTTGTCAACTTTAAGTCACAATAGTTTCAGCTAAGAGCGTACGGCTAAAACAAAAAAAATAACAAAAAGTGCACGGAAAGCAACAGCAGCAAGCAATAGTAAAAAACAATGGAAGTATTTCCAGTATAAAAAGCGAAATGGTCTATGCTGTGGGAGGCGCCTTGATCCATCCAGGTAGTACTCAAAATGTTTTAAAATTTCCCTCGAAACCCAAGAAACAAGACGTGAAACAGGTTGGGAGAACAGAAAAAGGACGGGGGAGGGGGCGTACAAAGAAGTAAGGGGGCATGCCAGGAAAGAACTGAAGAAACAATGCCTGACACCAGCTAGTGCAGGGGATGGAAATTAATAGAAAAACAGTTTCAAGAGGCTGATCATGGTGACTCGGAAAAGGGCTACCACAGAGAGGAAGACAATTAGGAGTTTCGCAAAGATCACTGTCAGCGCCTTTACTATTCAATTCATACTAGAATGGCAGCAGAAAAACCTAACTTAGCAGAACGCAGGATTTGGCAAAACAAAGAATGATAGTGTCAAACTTCTCCACTTATAAAAGCTAAAACTAAATAATGTCAGAATACTGTTCAGTGGATAAGGAGATGGCTATCCATGAATAAAAATTTAGTCTCATTAATTGTAAGTGATAATGGCGGTAATGAGAAATTCATTTTAAGGCAGTCAATTGGATTTTATTAGTGGCTATGATTCATATTGAAAATGGCGCCTGTGAAATATAATTAACGGAATTTTAAAAAGACCCAGCTAGCTGTTCTTGACGTAGAACTCTTGCTTATTAATCTTCTTACGTTACAAAGAATCACCCGGTGACGAAGCAACTCTACGAGTTAAGGTTTTGTAATTGCAAATATACAGAAAAATTAAGCAAAATTATCTTTGCTATTCAAAAGAAAATCATCCACTGCAAATCTAAGCAAATAGTAAAAGGCGTCTTAGTTGAAACGCATTCACACAGATTAACCCCCCATTGAATCCACGTTGAATCCACGATGTTCATAAAACCAGGCTTTTATAGGATCTGTTGTTACAATGGCTTCAACGTAATTCCCACTTTCGGACATTGTCGATGTCGTTATAGTGACGTAGCCAACACCGCCATTCTAGCATTTTATTGGTCCACGCATGCTCAATACTACATCCTTTCAAAAATAAAAATCTATACAAAAGTTTGTTTGAAACCAAACAAAGTGGTTAGCATAAATGACAACTATGATGAAAGCCGTCCGGTTATTAAGTATGTTCGAAGCTGTGCTGAGGGGTTCATTCGGATCAGTTATTCAATATTTCAGAAGTCGCTTGCACTGCCATTCTATTGAATCGCTCCCAGTCGTTTCAGGCATTTAATTGTTGTACTGCTTATCGTTAAGCCCCGTAAACTTTGCTACAAGACTATTTTGGTTTTCATTCATTTCATTCTTCCATGTGAGCCACAGCTTTTCCAGACCTAAGTATTCGCTTTTTCGTAAGAATACGCATTCATAGAGAACTCTAGGAAAATATTCGAAAACTTCCTTTGACAGATAAGGTCGCTGAATATAGATCTAAGGATCTTGGGTTTGAGTCCCTGGCATGTCAAAACGTTCATTTAGGGTGAGTAGAGTTGCCAGCTCTGTTAGTCCAGGCGTAGGAATGACGAGGTGCGGTCATATCGAGAGGAGAATGACGAGGTGCGGTCATATCGAGAGTAGAATGATGAGGTGCGGTCATATCGAGAGGAGAATGAACAGGTGCGGTCATATCGAGAGAAGAATGACGAGGTGCGGTCATATCGAGAGGAGAATGACGAGGTGCGGTCATATTGAAAGGAGAATGACGAGGTGCGATCATATCGAGAGGAGAATGATGAGGTGCGGTCATATCGAGAGGAGAATGACGAGGTGCGGTCATATCGAGAGGAGAATGATGAGGTGCGGTCATATCGAGAAGAGAATGACCAGGTGCGGTCAAATCGAGAAGAGAATGACGAGGTGCGATCATATCGAGAGGAGAATGACGAGGTGCGGTCATATCGAGAGGAGAATGACGAGGTGCGGTCATATCGAGAGAAGAATGATGAGGTGCGGTCATATCGAGAGAAGAATGACGAGGTGCGGTCATATCGAGAGGAGAATGAAGAGGTGCGGTCATATCGAGAGGAGAATGACGAGGTGCGGTCATATCGAGAGGAGAATGACGAGGTGCGGTCATATCGAGAGGAGAATGATGAGGTGCGGTCATATCGAGAAGAGAATGACCAGGTGGCGGTCAAATCGAGAAGAGAATGACGAGGTGCGATCATATCGAGAGGAGAATGACGAGGTGCGGTCATATCGAGAGGAGAATGACGAGGTGCAGTCATATTGAGAGGAGAATGATGAGGTGCGGTCATATCCAGAGAAAGGGCCCATACACTGCTTGATAAGCATAGCTTCTCAGAGTCATAAAACTACCATCGGTGACCAGGTAGTAACAATTGCATAAAAATCTCATGTATTTGTATTGTGATTTTTAGTTCCCGTTCATTCAGACAATAGGCATTATCATATGAGTATTAAAGACCATTATGTCAGCCTGAAACTTGGAGTCGCAACTTACAATCCTTCTGTTCTGTACAATTAAGCATGTAATGCATATTTGTCCGTTAGTAAGTTAGAAGGCTTGACAGATACATTAACATACACCGAGTGTAACCCTTGGAGATACCACGAGAGACACAATGAAGGACCTACAGACTCGAATCAAATTTTCGGCGAAGATCAAATCATGATGCTAACTGCTCAGCTCAGGGGGCCTGAAAAAAGCGTTTGTAGCTCATTTGTTGATCGAAGTTTATTTAGATTCAGACATGACAGGCAGAGCTTGCTAAAGGCAGCTCTGGGCCTCGCTGTTCGCTTCGGGCAGGCAGTGCTTAAAAAATACTGTGCTAAGTAATCGATAATTTATGTTCGCAAAAGGCTTAGGATTATGTTGAAGTAAAGTTTATGTTAATGATGGCAGAAAAAAATGATTAGCCGCTTGGAAAACTTCGTATATTCTTGCAATACTTTTCATAGACCAAACCTGAACCCTCATTTTACAGAAAAAAGAGATAAAAACATCGCCAATCTGCGTATTTGCTCCACTTGCTTTGCAACGACTAAGCTTGGATTGTAAAGGAATTGCAGCTTAGTAGTCTCGATCAATCGCTAAATTTATTTTTTACGGTCTAGAACAACGTCAATCTATCCTCTCCACGATACCCTTGAGCTCTGAAAACCTTCCTTTAAAAATCAAACGGGGCTTGGGCGTAATACTTGATTTTCTTTTTTTCCGATTGACCTTCCCTTCGGTGGCTGTTTGTGTGACAACCATGTTTTCTGGGCTCTGAATGTCATCTAACATAACCATCTATTCAATCATCATCAGCTATTCAAAAGCATTTTCAATTTATGCTACGTGTGCACAGCTGTTCCTCAAGGGTCTATCATTGATCAACTTTTGTTTCGTAATCATTTAAACGACGCATATAGGCCATCAATGCACACAAAAATTATGATACCGTCACTTTGAATAAAATTGTAATGCCGTACTGGCTAAAACACGTAGGTCGCTGCAAGGGAAATTTGCATTGATAAATTAATGATAAAAAGGATTACCTGGTGTTTGTCAGGTTCACCAGTCTTTTTCTTTTTTCCAACAGATTCTTCGTTTTCAAAGTCAGCTTCGACATCTTCCTCCTTTTCTTCTAAGGGTTCACTTTCACTAACGTTACTTCTTCCTCGCTTTAGGTGCACCCTTCGCTCCACTTTATTTTCTGCACTTGATGCCGCAACCTCAAGCTGACCTTCACTGGCTGACTGTTTCCGAGGTTTCACTGTAACTGACTGGTTCGCTTCTTTAATTGCTTTCTTTACAAGCAACCCAGTTGCTTGACGGGAGCGTGGGAGGCTAGGCCTGTGTGTCAGACAAATGAACGGTTACATGACACAAAATAATTGCTTCTTGGCAGCCGAAAAGCAAAGCTTGGCAACATACAAGCCCCTAGCAGAATGGACATTGAGGCCAAAAGACAGGTATTTAGCAGTGGATTCCATTCAGGGCATTTCACTATTCAAAACGTGTCAATGCCCAGGTCGCAAAATTTATATTCCGACATGTAAATTCCGCAACACATTAAAAGTCAGAACGAAGAGCAGAAAACTTTGAAGTATTTTAACTGGATTCGAAATACGGCTGAAGAAGAAAGATCATTTGAAACACTATGAATATATACGAAGTAGCACTATTTAACTATCCGCACCAAAAATGGAAGGCATAAAAGTGAAGTAGAAGAACAAAAACAAAAACGCTTCATAACAGAAAAAAGCGATCGAAATAACTGACTAGGCAAAGAGAGTAGTACGAAGATACAGAGCAACGACTCAACAATCATTCGACGAGAGATAAAGAGACTCTTTCACAAATGGCAAATGTACTGATGAGGGACAAAGGTGGCTGCTAAAATGCACAGAAGATCGCTTGATATCAATTAGCGGTGATAAGCTATAAAAAGCATAGATAAGTTTGTTAATATCCAACTATAAAATTTCAATAGTTAAACTTCAATAAAAACACTCAGACAATGATGTTTAGTTTCCTCATTTCGAGCATCTGAAAGATTACCTTATTTTTTGCATTGCCACCGCACTCTGCAAAGATTCTGCATGACCATGATCAGAATTATCCTTTTCTGCAGCAATTTTGTCAATCGCTTCAGTTTTTGAAGAAGACAATCTTCGTTTCTTGGTAGAATCTGGAAGAAAGATTACCGAAAAATATTCAAAAAATGATTTCTTGGAGAAAAACAAGAATTAAGAAAAAACCATAAACAACAAATACTATCATTAAAATCCTAATTCTACTCACCCTTTTTGTTTTCCTCATTTCTATCCTTTTTGCCAGTGACTGATTCACTAGTTTTTCTTGACAAAACGAAATCCTGTCTCCTCTTTCTCACTTCAGATCGTGTATCTTCATGTATTTTTTCTGCTATAACTTTATTGTCACTTTTTGTCTCTATTTCAATACTTTCATCATTTTTCTCTTTTTCTGCTTCTTTTCGTTTCCCATCATTATCTTCCCTGCTTTTATCCTTTCTTGATTTCTCCTTTCTATCAATGCTTGGTTTTTCCCCTTCGTTTATATTTTCTTTCACTTCTTTGCCTGTTTGATCTACCTGGGCCGTGTTCTCAATGCCGTGGTCTGGTTCTGCCTCGCAGCTTTCTCTTGTTTCTGATTCTTTAATATGATCATCTTCTACAGCATCTGTGTTGCATGCAAGATAAAAAACAAAAGTCTCACAACACAACTAAATCACAAGAATCAAAAATTTTCTTTTTTGATTGGCAGTGATGAAAAACGACCATAGCACACAGGAGATTGCGATGCAAAGGAATCCAAACCTCCCGAGAACCAATGCATCATGGAGATATCATAAACCAGTTATTTTTTTCTATTACGCAAAGTCAAAACAACAAAACTGGCTCCTATGCTGTAAATTCAAAGTATGAAACATTTGCTGATCTTCTAAATCTTGTGTTTCCAACAATTTTGTACAAAATACAACGAATGTCTATGAATTACATGAGCAATATTATACAAATCTGTCAATAACCATGCATGACTCCAGTAGCATGCACTCTGACAAAATCATTCTTCAAAACTAAGATGAGCAAAAGTCTGCCATTCTAGATTACAACAGCTGAACGTGTTGCTGGTTACAAAAGCGTTAAGCACAAAGTTGTTATGATAACAACAAATAATCACCTTGAGCAGCACTTTGTAGCTTTCCAAGTGTCTGAAATAGCCTACAACAAGATTAAAACAACATGAGACCAAGTAGCTGAAAAGACCAAGTAGCTGAAAATATCAGTTCACATGTAAATGAAAATTGGTGTCTGTTCAGACCGTTGGTTGAACTCTGCGGGAAAGAAGACGTTAATTGAGTAAGGCATTTAGATAGCGAGCATGGCTGAGTTTTATCCCCAACTTGTAGAAAAGCCAATTTCCTGGAATGATGAGGAAGGTGGCAGTAACTCCACCATCTCCAAGGGATAAAATATATATACCCTTTTTATAAAAAACAGCACCATATGCCTTTTAAAGTGGGAAAAGTCCGGATTTCATCTATGCAAGCGTTTTAATTACACTTATAATTTTCTTAGAAATGCAAAATAAGGCAGGGGTAGCAACTGCAACAATGACATTATATCAACAATTTCATAAAGATGTCTTTGTTTGTTAATGAAAAAGACTTTAGCTTTATTAATAAATTTTTCATTGTGACATCTAGCTTAGGATTTCTATTAATAAGTAAATTGCTCAAATTTTTCAGTTTATGTCAATTTTACATAAATCTTGAAGTTTTGCAAGCCAGAGGAAGAAATTTTATGTTCCATACAAAACTTTGGCTTGTGCACAATACAGTGAGTATTGTCTACATTTTCCATTCCTCATAAACAACAGGAGCTAGGACAATCAAGATGGTGGTGATATATGTGCTCATCCAGTAGACTAAATTCAAATCCCCCTTATTCCAAGGCCACACCTTGCATTTTGGGAGTTGTGATGAAAAGCCTGCATTGTCAACCAAACACTGCATATAGCAGCAAACATTTGATGGGCAATAAAACTTGAACACAACAAAATATTTATTACCTTCATCAAATCTAGCTGGCTTTAGACTTTTGCAAATCTTATAAAGTTTTTAACTTTTGCTTGGAGAGTTTCAAGCCAGCAAAGAGTTTATAGTATGATGCAACTGTGTATATGAAACAAGAGAATGGCTACATTTCCTATGCGACCTATTTACCTAAGTAACAATTAATACAGCCATTTAGAATTCCCTTGAGAAAGCATTTCTCAGGCCTAAATGACTTCACAAAGTCATATGTCTGCAAAATTTAAGTTTGAAGTCTGAATATTTCCTTTTGTGTTTAGACAAAGAAAAGTCAAATTACCATTTCACAAAGCCATCAGTTTCTTCACCAAGAAAAAGGGACAAATCATCTACCATCTGTTGACTCTTCCTTTTGTTGGCAATCATCACCATGATATACTCTGGAAGTTCATCATCTAAAAGGTAAATAATATGTTGAGAAAGCAATTCATTTGAGGATGAAGGGACCATTTGGGGATTTAGAATTTGAGAATCTGAGTATGTGAGAAAAATTCTCAGATAACCTGCACACAACACGAATTAAATTTTGCTCAGCAACCCTAATGGTGTGTGACGGTCTTAAGAGAGCATGGTGGTTACTTCTTGATGAGTTGAGAATGAGTTTCACAAGGACAGCAACTTTGTAAATTTCAAAAGTAATTAATTTAATGTTGGTATCATTTTGAAGGTTTCAATAGTGAAATAGAAGCGAATGTATTGTTGATACTGTCATTTTGCACAAAAAGGCCTCAATTCTTTTTAGTTTCTAAACCTGTTCAATTTGACCATGGGAAAATCCTCTCAATATTTTGCATCTTGGTGTTGTTTTCTAGTACTGTACAGAGAAATATCTATGGACATAGATAACAATACTTAACAGCTGAAAAACTGTTTTGCCATATGCAAGCAAGGATCCTTTTTTATAATAAAAGGGTTGTTCACCTAGATTCTTAAAAATTGTTATTTTTCTCCACTTGTTTAATTGATTTTGCTGAATTTGACAAATAACATATCTAACACCACAGCGCCTGCAACCCTCCTAGTGCAATGTACCATGATGTTCATGGTTCCTTATAAGCTTCTTTCAGTTTTTATATCCATTGCCTCACAGGATATCCTGAAAGTCTAATAATTTTTCAAGGACCTTGATATTATGCATATTTTCAAATATTTACAAATAAGAAAGGCCACAGCCAATAAAAATGTCATCAATGAAAAAACTTACCAATATATGTCCCACATTCTTTCAGTTTTCGTTTGATTGATGCCTTTAGAAAATTGAAGAAATTAATGTTTCAATACATTATTTGATAGCTTTTTGTCTAGATATAATGCAGAAAGTGTATTTTAGAATTAACAAGAAACTGTATTAAAACAAGTATTACATCAAAACCCAACAAATTTGCAATCATATGAACAAGTGATTCCTTGCATGATATGGTCCCTTTTCACACATGGGTAAACAAAAAGTGGATGATTTGTGAAGATGGCAAAGATACTAACTGAAAAGGGCCAGAGACTAGAAAGTATTTATGCATGAAGTTCTCCTAATATTCAGACAAAAAGGAGCTGCTATGTTAATTTAAACCTGGCTTTCTTGACTATGCCTCCTTCCTAAAAAGTTCATTCTTTGCAAATCAATTATTACTGTTGTGATGCAGCCTTTAGCATACTGAATTTTTGCAAACAAAATGAATGTTTGGTCTATTGTATTTGTTCCTTTACATATTCTTACTTGTAGAAGTTTTAATTGAGAACAGACTGATATTTACAAAGCAAATCATGCAGCCAGAATTAATTGATGAGAGAAAAAAATCAACTTGAGAAGTTATTTTTGTACAGGGCTTTAAAAAGATTATTGAAAATTCTACTTTGCAAAAGAATCTAATTTCTGGCCTTGCACAAAATAAAGAGCACCTTATTCATGCAGCTCTTGCACCACAAATGTCTTACCAATACCAGGAGCATATGATGTTAGATCACCTCTTTAAAAATATAAGTTGTGACCTGGCATTAACAATCCACTAGCAGTGTAAAATTGGTACTGACCCAAAATCAAGGGTTAAAAAATTATCCTTGGTGCCAGCATGGCAAAAAGATACCCAATTGATAACTGGTTTCTCATGCATTGCAAAAGCAAGCTAGGATGATGAGAAAAAGAGTCCATGTTCTTGCAAAATTGATACTAAGTTGAAATAACTTTCTCTCAAGAGCATTTCATGTTTACATCTACCAGAACTACTGTCACCATTATCAGTTCAATTCAATGTTTAATTTTATTGTTTTGGCCATGTGCAGAAAACATACTTTACAGTATAGTTTGAGAGACTTCAGCAAACCTTTCTAACTAAGCACTAGGAATAATTTTAACATGGCCTACTAAATTGAACTGAAAGCTAATAACAGGAACAGAAACAGAAACAATAACCAGATAAAAATAAAAAAATAAAAGAAAGGCATGCTCTACTTTCCTATATTTTATTGTCTTGGTTATACTGTGTAGTTTATCAACATCCAGAATATGACATTTCTTCTTACACTAGGGAAAAGATCACAAGTTTTTCGGCTGTCCAAAAGTTTGGTCCACAAGTGCCCAGTTGACTTAAGCTACCCTGGATTGGTAATACTTCCTTGTGATTTGAAAGTCAGATTAAACAAGCCATCACAAAATGTACATTTGCTGTTAATCCTCCTATTGTTTACAGTACTAGGAGAGCCCTTCCATTCATTCGAAAAGATTGTGTTCCTCCCACCCAAAAGAGTTCTGTTGTTTATGAATTTACGTGCCAGATGGATTACTTAGGATGCACAACTCAAAGATCGGGGGATAGGATAAAACAACATATTCCTTCCAACATAAAACACAGTAAAAACTAGGGCCTCTGCCATTGAACAACACCTTTTAGACAAACCAGATTGTACCAAACTCTAAAATTATGACATGTTTCAGACAATTTGCAGAGCCTTGTCACCTTTCTATCTAGCAGTTTTGGAATCAATCTACATACAAAAAAAAGCCACCATTGTGTAAACAGAAGGAGTTTGTTTTCTCTCTTGAACTCCAGTGGTAATTTTTCTTTAGGCACGTGGCATTGATTGGTCAACTATACCAGTCTCGTGCTTTATGTTTTCATGATTGGCCTATTTCGACCCACAACTGGGTATATATTTTCCATCATGTTCTTTTGGCCCCCATATTCTGATGTTTTATGCTCTGAGGAGTGTCAGATGAAAAAACTTAGTTCTTTGCGAAATGTTTGTTTTTTCCAAGCCATTTCAATTTCTGTACTGTCAAAAAATTGTTCACATTTTTCAAATAAATAAACTGTAAAATGTGTGAGCATCTGCAAAAATACTTAAGGCTTTTCATGTGCTGAGACATAAATTTTTCTGATACAAACATTACAAAAATAATCACCTTTCTACTAGTAGGAATAGCTCATTCCTCATTCATATTTCTATTATTATACCATATCATAATATACTACTCAATTACATATTTATCTGAATAATTTCTCAATTACATATTTATCTGAATAATTTTTTATCTCTAAAATATCATGTTGATGCGAAGTTCAGAAGTGAACTGTAACTGGGTATGAAATTTGGCAAAACAACTTCTTGAAAAATGATTGTGTCGTTGATGCATATGTTTAGCCTTAGCAAGGTTTTCTTTTGCAACATAAATTGTGTGGAAATATTAACTTAAAGGTCTGCCGAGCCTGCACACATACCTTGTACAACCAATGTAGCTAGCAAACCTGTCGTGAAAATCTTCAATAAAGTTAGCTCTTAAAAATCATAAAGTGATGACAATATCCCTATCATAAGATCATATCTACCTTAAATTTATGGCTTATTTCGCTCCCAAGATCCATCTCTATCACTTGAAGATGGCTGCAACCAGTTTTCACAGTTATATAGGCCCATCGATGATACTCCCTTTGCGCATGCGCATTTAGATGGCAGTTGACATGGAAGCCATTCACGTAAAGGCTGAAGAAGAAGGATCCTAGGATGGAGCCCTAAGGAACACAGAATGAACTGTCCTATTCTTCGTTGTTTTTTCACTAATGTTGTCATTCATTTGTTAGGAAGAAATATCAACAAAGGAATTCTAGCCATGGCATAATCTAGCCATGTATTTCGAAACAATTTGCAATATTATTCTTTATTTTCCTATTAACACCCAGGAATATCCTCGTGATTTTGATTGGCCTATTTCTATCAAACTGGCTATAAATTTCCCCTAGTTCAGAATTTTTGATCATTATTTTCATGTTTTACACTCGAGAAACATAAGTCAAAGTTGAGAACTTCCGTTTCACTTTAAGGAAATTCCAATACTCATTGTTTCTAAACTTCTAAAGTATGAAGTAGGATGGCATTCAATTTAATATGGGTGCTATATCTAATTTTCAATGCTAGGAAATTTTCCAACAGACAAAAGCAAAAACAGGAGGTTTTGCAGCTACAAACAAGACAATTGTCATTGTTTCTATTTGTTTCAAATGCTCATGACATTTCTGTCAAGCGATTTACTTCTGTTCTCTTCCTGTGTTAGATAGAGGAATTATACTTTTTCATTTTCTTTGTATAAAATTTCATGCCAACCAGGCAATCCGATTTAGTGAATTTTAATGAAATTTTCGAGTTGTTGCCTTTTTTTCAAAATTCTATAGTTTCCTAATTTTTTGTTTCGAGTACTAAAGTTTCTTAATTTTTTCAGACTGCGCAGTACTCGTTTTTATATTCAGTTTCAAAAAATTTTATCGAAAAATTATACTCCGAGGAGTTAAAGAAGAAATACTTAAGTATTTTTCAAAACGTTTGTTTTTTAAAGCCATTTTTCAACTTTGTCCCACAAAAATTTACTTGTAAAGAAACTTGTTGCAGGCATAATAACAGGAAAAATTATGGACCAGATGTTCAAGAATTCGACCTAGAATGGGTCCATAAAAAGAAAGGGAATATATAAATCAGCTATAGGGGCAAAAATCTCCAATTTAAGAGGCAGTGACGCCTAAAGCGGTGCAAAAAATGTCTTCACGTAAATACCAAATAATAATTCCAAATAAAATTGACATTTTTAGACGTATCGGTTGCTGATGAAGGCTTGGGAGGCAAAATGACGAGCACGAAATTAAGATTTCAATAATATACATACACGAATTTATTTAAATCCTTACATTTGAAAAAACTATTGGGAATACACAATACAGTTATGCCACGAGGATTTGTGCTTGCTTCTAAAATGAAAGTTATTCAGCCCAAAACCCTGCGAATCTTTATTATTCACCTTGCTCAAAAACATCAATCACTTTACTTATATGAAACGTTGTCAGAGTACGCCAAAAATTTCCTAGCTCCCAATTACAGTTTTCTATTTTATCCACGAGCTTTAATCAAACAAAAAGTTGTTAAAGTAAAAATATTATAGCACTTGTCTGTTTTTTGGCACTTGTCTACCAGTTGGCCTACGACCAAAAGTTCATACCTAGAAGTCTACAGGTACATTGTCTACTTCACTTTGTTCTTTAATTGATTTTTATACAGCTGTCATTGTGATAGTGTACTGCTCGCCAAAAACTTTATGCACAAAATACAAAGACTTTATCTCAAGCAATATTTATACTGAACATAAGATCCAAAAAATTGAGCGTATTAGACCTTTCTTGGCCTGTACTTTTATTTAAATTACTGTTAGAGCGCACTGTCATTTCTTTATAGAATCAATCTTATGTAAAACGTTAACCAACATAGGTTCTGTATCAGTTTGATGAAAACTAATTCCGCTTCAGATGCCAAAGATGAAAGCATCGCATGATGTGATCCGTGAGGGCCATTGAAGTACCAGTTCCACAAAAACAAGTCTTTTGTATGGAATGTGCGGTTATCTTGATGAAATTCCGTCGCATGCCCTTTTCTAGCAATCAGCCTGTTTCATTAACAAATAAGCGACAATCCTCTAAATATTTCGTCTCTAAAATTATACTGCTGAAAGACCAATAAACTCAAATTTTGAAAAATCCCTGTCCCTTTTACATGTTTTTTTCCGTATGAATAAACCGCGAAGAAATTACAAACCGTTGGTCTTTTGGGGATCAACTCATCTTTCTTTGTGACGATGCAACTAAAAACTTTTTCTTTCTTGCAACCCGAGGCAGTTTAACAACAGAAGGAGTCTCTTTAGCATTGACCTTGTTTGGCAGTGAAGGAACAATATCTGGAAGGCGAGTTTCTCTTGAATGACCCTGGTGCTTGGTTTCTTCATAGATGCATGGCATTTTCTTTGTACAAAAGTTATGGCAAAAATGTGCTGGTGCATTCACGGTTGACTGGCAAAGGAACTGGAGTTTCTTTGGAGAGGCTGGCTCTCTTTTTTGGCCCTTTACTCGGTTCTGCTTACTTGAAAAGACGCTCGGGAGAGGCATTCTCGAATGATTCACAGTCCCTTGCTGCTCAAAATCTTATCAACGTAGTCTAGAATCCATATACTTTCAGATCCAAAACTACATGCTGAGGCAGATTTAGCATAACAGACACATTGCTATTAGCAGAAGTGTATTAATTATTCATTACTTGTTATTATACTTTCAAACGCATTTTTGTTTCTGCCAAAGCTACGGCGTAAAGTATACTTAAACTATGAAAAATTGTCATCACTGGTTTTAATGATATGAAAAAGACAGAAACTTATCAAATCTTTGCTACTCAATTCTTAATTTACCAACAACTGAACTAGCAAATATCAAATCTTATACGGTTTCATATTGGTAACATCTTATTTTGCAAATCTAAATGATAACAAAACAGGTTAAGACCACAGAAAACCCGTATTCTTTGAAAATGATCCAAGAAAAATGATCCACTTCATCAAAGTATTCAATGATGACGTCAGTGATGACGTAGGGCAGTTTTGCGAACTACGTAGCCTTGAGATGTGAAATCCCCACATACACTTTACGCTGGCTCTCTCCTTAATGACAGGAGGGACATTCAGAAATAGGCTTTAAGGATGTCAAGAGAACAGATTTCAATAAAAGTTATCCACCGCCAGTCGATTTTGTGTAACTTTGCTTGTGCAAAAAATTCGTCAATCATAATAAATAAAAGCAATATCCAAGGAACGTTTCTTTTCATATTGTAGCAGCGGTTTCTATTCACATATAAACACGGATCTTTGTTTTTCTCTATTGAATCCTAAACGCTTCAATATAGTAGCACTTTCCTTGCTACAACAGGCTTGTAACAGGGATCAAAGCCTAACCTAGCCTGCTCCTCACCTACTAGTACTCTAAATCTTTCACTCAAGAAGTGCCTTTATTCGCCGCTAATTAAAAAACAAATAGGGGAAACAAGGTTTACCAAATTTCGACCTAATGGCCCCTGTCCACCCTTTCCCAAGGCGCAAAATAATAACGCAGTTAAAGAGATAACGTTTAAAGACTTTTTCCTTTGCTGCAGGAATGAATCAGAAAAAAGAACAGCTAAAAAGGACCTTGACTCCAATTGTGGCAACTGCCAAAACTGAAAACGATAAAAGATAGAATGAAAATCTAAGAATACACTTTGCAATTGGAGACTGTTACAAAAGAATAGAAAGGAATTATTTAAAACTTTTTTCTACATGGTAGAATTTGACAATTGGCTTTGGGAAACCCATGAAACGGCATTAAAATGTCAGACAATTGACGCTGTAATCCAATGATAAAAGAGTCTATGACGTAACAAGTTTTAGGATGCAACCCACTTCCTTGATGTCGTATAGGCGTCTAGTTCTCTCTCAATGCCAACGTACTTCAGTGAGTCTGTAGGGCCGTATCTACAAAATATACATTTAAAATTTATATACCTAAACATATATCTTTAATATAAATTAAAGATACTGTTTCTTCTACACACTTATGATAAGCGCTGTCTTCGGTTCACTTTATTGACAGAGCTAATATACGGAACTGAGAACTGTACTTTTTGGCATATAACCATTTTGGCACATTTCTGCAACACATTCTGCCTAGCTGCCAGTATCACGCGTGAACTTTTACTTCCACATTAGTAACTGGGTATATATTAGTAATTATAAATTCAAAACGTTTGGATTTTCCTGGAAAGGAGTGATTCTCCTACCGATTAGCCTTACCACCAAGAGAGAGTTTCTCGTAAAGAGTTTCTTTTATACAATTTCTCTGCTCATATTTTTCCATTTCTTTAAAATGAAAGGAAAATGCGGAAACATTCTGTTTGCGTAAATCAGCATGGTAGCAAAACGCACGATAGCAAAATTTGATGTAGATTGACTGCTTACCCGATTTTGCTTTGCCCGCTGTCGCATTCTCACCTTCTGCGCTTTAAAGACTCATTGCTAACAATGAGCCATTGCGCTACGCAAGCATCCCATGATGCATTTTCAGACAGTCTGCCATTGTTTGGATCGTCGCCACGCTCGCAAAGGCCCATTGTTAGCAATGAGTCTTTAAGAACTCTAAATTGAACTGAACTGAATTGACAACATAAATAAATCAGCGGGTTGATTGCTGAGTTTGATACTAGAGCTCTGAACTAAAATGACTTAGACTGAAGTGAACTCTAGATAGAGCTAGATGGAACTGAACTGCACTGAAATTGAAAGAAATGACACTGCATTGAATTGAATGGAACTGCATGGAACTGAATTAAACTGCATTGAATTGAATGGAACAGCATTGAACTAAATGGAACTGCATTGAATTTTGTTGTACACATTGGAACCGAACTATTGTAATATACATCTCGAGACAACTTTAACCTCATTTGGCAAGAGGTAAGAAATTCAAATTCTTTGTATATCATCGCATGACGTAATTTGTAACAGTGCGCTGTAACAGGAATCAATTTTCAAAGGACAGAATTTTCGGCATTAAATTGGTTTGTACGCAAGGCACAAGTGTCTCATGAAAAGGCCAGGTGATCCCAAAACAAATGAACGCCGACGCATGGAAATTGAGCAAGGATGGATGAATGGAAACGAATGAATGGACACAGATGAAAAGAATTGCCGCTGTTAATTATTTGCTGCCTACCTATAGTCGAAGAAAAGTTCCTCTCCCGGGTCGATGTATCTCTTTGCGAAAATTCCGATCCTATGATCACCGTTGACCATCATAACTAGAAAATACAAGATCATTAAAACAACAGCACACATTATTCTCACCACAACAGAAGACAGAAACACGCTGAAGAACATATGTTTTTTTGGTAGTTCGATTCGTAATCAAGCAAAGGTAATCTAAAAATGCATATCATAAAAATTAAATTTCCATGAAAAATAACTTTACATAGAACTATAAAATATGATAATCAAAACCAATGTTATTAACATAGTTGAAATTCGAAGAATGTAAGAAAACGCATCCATTTTCCTGCACCAGCACAGCACTTCTTGTACGACACTATCCGAACATGAGAAGGATAAAACCAAGAGGAGCTTCGTTGCCAAGTCGGGTTGAATTTCATTTTATTTTCATTGAATATTCTTTAAACACAAATAAACCCTTCAGCAATAAAATATCTAAATAACAATTTAAAAATAGAAATATATTAATAATAAGACGCCTTATAAAAATCAATTTGCAGTCCTTCCAGAGAAATGTGCTTTAGCTCTATAGATGCATTTTAAGTTGTTTTTGAAACGAGCTAGCGTTGGTAGTTCGCGAATTTTAGCAGGAGTATGCTTTGAGTTCTGTATAGTGACAGCGTTTCTTGGCAAATGCTGTTATGTACCAGGGAATTTTCACAAGCATTTTCACATTCTTTTAGGCTTTCATAGCGAGCGAAAAAGAATGTTTAATTGTGAAGCTAAGGTTAAATTGTACGAGAAAAGTAAGTGTGAATTTTATAGACGACGTTTCGTGCATTAAAGTATTGAATCCAAAGTAGTATTGTACGACACAGAATTTAGTATATTTATGAAACGGGTTGAATGTATCAAAAGAAGTAGAATGAAGTGTTTGAATGGCTTCTTGCAGGGACCAATCAGCGCCCACAAACCCCTCACTTAGTTGGAAAGTCTAAATTAAAAAAATTGATATTTTCTGTCTACATTAATCAGGACATCCTTGCTTTGCTATCGATTGATTTAAAAATCTCTTGATAAGGAAACGACTTTGCTTGACTAACGGTTCTGGTTAAGCTCTATCCCTTGAACAGTTTATCGCCCAGAGCTTTAATTAATTTTTGAAACTACCAGCCGCAGGGGCCATTCTGTCATCAATGAAAAGCTAAAAGCAAGCTTGAAGAGGCGAATAACGAAAACCTTTCATATTTCGTTTCAAAATGTTTTCTGTTCTTCATAAGTTTTGCTTCTTCTTCTTGAAGAATTTTAAGTACTTACTTACAATTTATCTTTGCACCAAACACAGTTAAGCTTTCGATTACTAAAGTGGTTTAAACACTTCAATTTTTGGTGTTTTTGATGAACAAATTCTGATAACCAAATACCTGGTTCTGCTTACAATCCCAAGATAAACAGACAAAGATCTCTAATCAAGTATTACTTTATACACCAGGAAAATCTATATTTTCGACAGATGTCTGGAGAGAATATTTCAGTATTTACGTAAAACAAACCTTTAGCAAAGCAGTTAGGATTGATCGAGTGATTTGCGAAGCGTATTTTGTTGCCCTTCCTAGTCGCATCGACAACATACTCTAGAAAAGAGAGAAAAGAAATACAAAATCATATCAAAACTAAAGCTTGCAATAATTATGGGTTTTTTAACGACAAAACTTAGAGCAGAAAAGCTTGTATCTTTTAACCAGCTAGAAGAAAAAAATTGACTCGCGAAAAAGAATAAGCCTCTCTCTTTTTGTATTTAGAAAAACCTTGAGAGTTACATCCAGCATAAAATATTTTCTATATTATCTTTTCTGAGTAGAAAGCGAGACTGAAAAATGTTTGTTAGAATGTGTCAATATATCACAAGTAAAGACAAGCAATATTACTCGATGTCAATTATTAGCGTGCTTTAAGCTGGAAAAGTCCGCACTGAAGAGCATGTGAAATTGACAATCTAAAAACATAGATTTTCTATGACACTAAGTTGTAGAAAACATCTTCCAAAAGCTCGACATTGCTGCATCGAAGTGTCACACAGGCGATTTTCCAAATTTGTGCTTTTTACCAACAAGAGACGTCGTGTTGGGGTCAAGGCTTGAGTTATAACAAGTACAGGTTCGAAAGACCTCAAATGAGAGACCAACAGGACACGTGCAAACGAACAACAATGAGATTGGGAAGGCTAATTTTGGCATACATAATTATGACGAGATCTACACCCAAATTGTAGCACGTATAAAAAACGTTACCTTGATTTAAGTTGAACAGAAAGCTGCACATATATTTATCATAAACCTTTCCACGTCTTTCAGCTTCGTCTTGGGATATAAGCTTCGAATAAAACGTACAAAAATGAGATGAATGAAATTGTTATGAAATTAAAAAAATATAAGAGCAAATTAAGAAGATGTAAAGTATAGTCGATGATTTTTTTGCCTCTGCCACAACATCAACAGTATAAAAAATAGATCTGAATTAAGTACAAAAAATCAATTCATTTCTTAGGAACATTTCTTCAATTTCTTTAATTCAACAACATTTCGATAAAACAACTCTAGAATTACTTTTGTTCAACAAAACAGCCGCAAGGAAAACAAAACTGATTTATCTCGCAAAAATCTTGAAAATGAGATACAAAAACAAATGAATACTTCTTCCATGATTAGAACTTGCAAGATCTGCAATGCCTGCCAAAAGCCTTGGTACACTAATATCAGTTTCCAAGGGCAAATTCCATGTTGCATCCTACTTTAAATACCATCCTGCATCAAAGGAATTCTAATAAGACTTTGTTACCTCTCCACAATATTCACTGACAAGCTCATTCTTCTGAATCGCTTCTTTGGTGTAGATTCCCCAACCGGCAACATCGGAGGGTGCCATTAGCAAATGCTGCAATTGAAAAAATCACAGCCAGTTTTTCCAGGAGCTTCATTAAATAGATCATGAGGACTTAAAGGGGGTCAAACAACATTTCGAGGTGTACATTGGATAATTCAGCAATGCAATGGGGTGTCAAGGGAGAAATCAAAGGAGATGGAATGAGGACATCAAGGGAATATAAAGGAAACACAGGGCATCAAGGGATATAAAGGGAAGACAAAAGAAATACCAATGGGATATAAAGGGAATATCCAAAGACATCAAGGGGACATTTAGGGAATATCTATGGACTAGAAGGTCATCAAAAGATTGGATCATATAATTGGGTCATCAAAAGATACAAAGTAACATCTTGGATATAAAAAAAGAATATAAAAGGGTTAAAGAAGAACTTCTGTACACTACAATTATAAAGAAGAACGATACAATTGTATATTTTCTTAGGTTAGAATCTTCGCCTAAGTGATTAGAAAACACCACCTACCAAAGAAAACAGAATTTCTTAACATGAAACCCTTAGACACCTTTCACTTCTTCAGTAACAGTATATAACTAATCATTATTGTGAATTTTCAGAGGTGCTTTAAAAACAACAGACGTTTTGAGATAAGAAACACACCTTAAGCCAGCCTCTTTGCAGGCCAATGTTTCTGCACGACGTACTGCTTTTGCTTTCGTCAAAATTATCTGAAAGTGAAATGACTTCGAAACTGAATTGGAATCTTAGTAAATTGTACGATTGTAAACTGTTTTGCAGGAAATTTTCTAAATGTGACAACAAATAATGACGTAACTCTACCAAGTTGCATAATTCTATCAGTAATAAATGGCATATGTAAATGAATAATGAGTTCATCAAGTTTGGGAAGCAGAAAAAGAGGTTCCATGCACCCTTAAACTCTATGGCAATGATACCTTTGGAGAAATTTCAAATAAGAACATTCTTTTAGCAACGATCTTTTACATCAACTCTACAAGCAGATTTATTTAGCTGCACCCCTTTACCCCTCTTCTCTATTAGCTGCACCCCTTTACACCTCTTCTCTTTTAGCTGCACCCCTTTACCCCTCTTCTCTATTAGCTGTCCCCCTTTATTCTTATTCTTAGTTTGTTTCATGTCAGTGCTTGTGCTGTTCATCGTTGCTTGTTGGCTGCAGGGTAGATGTGCTTAATCACACCTCTCATGGAAAAGTCGTGTAAATCGTCTTTAACTGTGTGCTATCGTAATGCTCATACAGTTTCTTATACATCATAAAATTTGTTGTAAAACTTTAGAGCTTTACTTCGTTGTTGTTTATGTATTTCTTAATTATTTATTGATATGAAAAAAGTTCCCATTCAAGGCCTCCTTTGGTTCCATTATACACGATGAATTATTCATTGCTGCATATTTGAAATAGATGGGCCTAAAATAAGATAAGTATCATCAAGAAACATACCAGCTCCACAGGAGTTGCAAAGGTCTGGATCGCATTCTCGAACAGCAAGATGACAGGGACACTGTTTGGTGATACACTGTGCCTTGCATCGACAACCAGGGAATCGATTTTGACCTTAAAATGCAATCAAAGAAGACTGCTTTGAAATCAAGGATGACAATGCAATTGCTCGCAAAAGTAACGACGAAAACAATACAATACCAAGTCTATCAGATATGGGTATGATTAGGCCGCCCCTCCTCTCAAGAGAATGAAAGTTGATTTATCATCGTCACGTAGCCAGATTAGGCTGCGTTTACACAGGATCGGTCCAAACGGAACCGTTCCAAAATTAGTACAGCTACGCGTCACGTTTCAACAGGACCTGCTGGAACCGTTCCAAACGGAACTGCCGTGCCCAAACGAGTATGCCGGGCAAACCGATACCATAGAGACCTCGTTTCAATGGTTAGATCGGTTCCAAATGGGATCGGATAGGAGCCGAGGCCCACCCTCATCCAAAAGAGAGGCAACTGAAACATGATTTTGATGTTTTGTTTAGTTTTTGTAACTTAGCGCCATCGTTTTTGCATTTCTTGATTTTTTTACAACATAATATCAGGTCCAAGTTGTTTGCTTTCTTCTACCCAAAGAATTTTCATTTTCAGCTTAATAAATTACATGGCATTAGAGCTTTTACGGCTGATTCAGGATACTAAACGTAAGGTAGTCCTTGCATCTAGAACCGTTACAGCAGGTCCCGTATAACGTAGCCTTAGACGCAACCGCCATTCTACCACGCAATCCAAACGGGAATGGCTTTAAAGTCAGTACAGGCAGCACTGTCAGCACTCCTGTTAGCTCATCATTATCACCAGGACGTGAAAACTACTCAGACTCGCTTTGCTTTTAAGAAATAATGAGCTTGAAAGGGTTACCATCCTTTATATTGAGGTAATAAGAGATAGAATGGCTAAATATAACTATATCAATCCACATTTACTGAGCCATTGTTTTATAAGAATGGAAACAGTTGAAACGTTAGGACATTTCAATGGGAGTCAACAATCAAATCAAATGGCTTGGAAAAAACAACACAAGAGAATAGCAAAATTAAAAAAAAACTGGTTGCAATGACTCCTTCTGAAGACATTTGGTGTTTTTTGATGATTAAAAGAAAAAGGGAAGGTCAAAAGGAATCTTACTTTTTATGAATGTATGAATGATGAAAAACCGAGAATGAAGAATACTCACAATCGATGCTGCATTGACAGAACTTCTCGCAGAAATTCTGCGTTGCGATGCAGTTACAAGACTGATCACAAGGCTGTCCAGGGTGATCACAGGGTACATAGTTGTAAACAAAGTTTGACGAATTATCTGTTGGGACAAAACAACTTATTGAGTCATAGTGAATTAATCAGCAACAGAATCTACCAGTAGTTAGAGTGATGGAAAATAGGGCTGAACGAAAAAATTGGTTATACCTTTTTTCAGCTGAACCTTTTTGCAATGATTTGCCCAAGATCTACGACAGAAAACGAACCAATTAGCAAAAACATTGAAAAATATTGTATCGTTCTTCTTCTTGTGCTTTGTTGAAAAACATTGAAAAATATTGAGATGTGAAATGAGGCAAGAGCATACATTTACCTCACTGTGTGTTTTTTCTTCTTTTTAGGGGGCGAATCTTCTTCATGGTCGACGAAAGGTGCTTCAGGGACCTCTAGCATTGCATGCTTATAAACCTAAAATGCAGAACATATGCATCAAGTTGTGATTAATGAGCTACTGAGGAAACGGTTTACTCGGTATATTGTGACAATGTACCCTCCATTTTTAGGACATTCTTTAAACCTTAATTCCTCACTAAAATATTAGCACTCCCACCCACTAATAAAACAACTTACCAATTCTTGATTGGTTTTCTTTTACCAAAATGGGTACTCACCTGCTTGCAAGACTTCGTTTCAATCAACTTGGCGATGCCGCAGTAATTATTTGGAAAAATTGGTCGCAAAACGCGAAACAAAGACTGGTCGGCATTTTCCCATTGAGCATCTTCGATATCGTCGAGCACTGACCGCTGCACAGGAGTCTGAAACGCAATAACAGGTGCTTGGCATTGTGGGAATGATTAATGAGCATTACGGATGTGCATTTTTAATGAAAACAAAGACTTTAAGTGGCTGATGATGATACTGAGTACGAAAAAAAGTTTAGAAGCTGATGAAGATGTTACATACTAGGGGTGATTCGGCACTTTGAGAAGTATTTGAATCATGTCGCGAGAATCCCCGCTTGCCTCGCTTTTTGCCAGCTTTTTGGGCAGTTTCTGTCCCATTCGTGTCCGATTTTGAAGAAAGAGGTTCACTAGCTTCCGAACCACCATCGATGGAAGCGATCACTTTCTGCGTCTGGAAGAACAGAGTAAAATCATGAAGTCGATGATTTTTCTTGAAATTGACCCCTACATACTCACAGAAAAACAAAGGACCGTGACAAAGGCTAATAGAAGATACTGCTTCACAGACTTGATCTTATAATCCCCATATAGTGCAGAAAATTATCATACTTCTTATGACTATTTTAAACATCTTACCAAGTGCATATAACATTCGGAACCACATGGTTGGCTTTCTTGCAAGTCTGCTTGTGTCTGTAGAAAAAGAAAAATAATCATTCGCACATAGGGGTCTAAGGGGTAAAAGGAAAATAGTGAGGAGATACAAGGTCTTGATGGTTCAACTTGGAGAAACAGTAACGGAAGTTGGTACCTTTTTCTTTGCAAAATTTGGCCTTGAGCGGAAAGCTAAAAGACAATTAAAATTGAAAATGAATTAGAAGTATAGTATTATTATACTAATACATATACACAAATAAAAATAATACAAATAAAAAATATAAGAAGTAGTAATGTCAGAAATTCATGATCATTGTTTCATTGTATTCGATATTCTAGGACACGGTCTTTGAGAATTACAATATGAGACTAAACCAAAGACGTACATGAATAATAAAAGCATTGTAAAGAATTGCAAATATGTAATTAACATGTGATTTGATGCTAGCCAAATCAAAGATACTCGATTCAACCAAAATAACTGCTATCCATAAAAAATCGTTTCAGTCAATGTTCTTTTCTAATGTTCTGGCAAATAACTACACGCCTTTATGAGACGGTATCTGAAATAAGTTCAGTAGGGAATATTGTTAAGACTACCAACCATGTAAGAAACAATCGTATTTGTAGCACCTTCGGCAGAAAAGGGTGTGGAAAGAATGCATTGTTTTTTCTCGATTGGTCGAGATAGCATCAGGACTGAAAAAGACCAAAGAGATTGATAAGTAGAAAAAAGCTTTAGAAAGAACTTTATAGTTCAATTTCAGTATGTAAACAGAAATTAAAGTTTACAAGGCGGTGAAATTCAAGAAAAGGTAGCTGAAAGTTGACTGACCCATCTATGTTAGGTGTGCATTCCGGTGGGAGTTCAGTACTTTCTTTCTCCTTCAAAGTTGTAAATCTGCAATCAATGAATTAATCATTCATAGATGAGATAAGAAAAGAAGTTTGGTAAATTGATGCTCAACGAGGACAACGGACACAAATTTTTTTTTTTTTTCGATGATTCAAGATTTGGCGCTGTTGATATACCGAAAGGCAGCCGGTTCACGCATGTTTAGAAAAAAACTTGAAAAAATTGAATTTTATTTTATTTTTTCCAACAATTTTAATTAATCAATCCGGGATATTGTTTGTACAATTTCTATGTTGGCTGTGTCCACTTCAACTTTTGTTCGCCTATTCCTGGAACCACGTATGCATAGTATGGCACTACAAAGAAGTACAAATGACAGCTTTGTGCGAATCCAATTAGTCACCAGTGAAATTGATAGATCATGTTTCTTTGAAATCTTCATAGATAAAACCGATATAAACTTTTCAGTTTCTCTACTTGAACCACCACTGTGAGCGAAAATCAATGGCGTAAAAGAACCATGCTCAACTTGTAAAACCCTTTGACTGTACGCGCGTTTCTTCTCTCTTTCATTCCCTGCAAAAGTATTGTCTAGTTTCTGGTTTCTGTACGACGGTGCGAGTGCGACGGGCACAAAATTGCTTCAATGGCTTCGATCAAAATTGCTTCAACGAGGACAACGGACACAAAAATGCTTTACCTTTAATATTGTTAAAATCATAATAAAATCAAGGGAAAGGATGTGAAGGACAGGAATGTGAAGGACAGAAATGTGGACGGCAGGAATCTTTGTCCATACCTTTGCTTAAGTTCAGGGACCGTGACGCCATGATCAGCGAAAAATTCTGCAATGGCTTCAAAAAGTTCTTCACTCGGCTCCGTCTGCTCTGCGTTAGATCCTTTTGTATGCGCTCCGCTTCTTCGTAAATCGTAATCTAGGATCGTACAAGAATATTTTTTATCCAAAAGTTGGCAAAACATTCGGGAGTAATTAGGGAGCAATGTATGAAGTCACTGCCAAATGGAAACATAGTACTTTCACAGGTCTTTTGGACACCTTTATGCAGACGTAATGTACTCAATAAGTCTCCACGGCAGCTTTAATGCGCAAACCTATATACATTAACAGTAAACATTTAAAATGCCATGAACGTTAAAATGGACACAACAAGCGTTAGATGTCGTCAAAAGTGCATTTGACACTGGAAACAAGGAAATGGAAAAAATGACTGGTATATTTCAGTGTTGGGGAAAGCTAGAAATACCAGCGAGGGGTAACAATCATCACTGGTTACATAACATCGTACTGTACAAGACAGAAGAAGGAATTATTTAAAAAAATAGTCAGGACATAATTTAAGTCTAGATACAAACAATACAATAAATCTAATGAAAAATGATAGATTCACAAATTCATAACAGTTCAAATTAAACAACATCAGTCTTATAATGATTTATGTCGATACGAAAGCAGGAGAAGAGGGAATCTGAAACTTTATGGCCACAAAAAGCTTTTTTTTCATCTTTTAGATTGACAAAAAGTAGTTTTAATTCCTAACTTGTGATGGGGCATAAACATTTCTTTCACCAGATAAGAAAAAGCAAGAAACCTTCTTTCGGTTTTCTTTCTTTGTCTGTAGGACTTTCTTGGAAGTTGACAAGATTCCTGAATAGCGCCATGAACATTTCATCATCCATAAGGGCTTCTAGAAACAAAAAACCGAATTAGGATATTAGTAAGCATGATTATTGGCACACCATGAATCTAAAAATGGCTTAAAGTGAGAAGGAGCTGTGCAGCAGTTGTTTTTAAGGTCCGCAGATTACGACAATGGAACAGGTGGTTACAAATACGTGGGAGAAATCACTTTAAGCATATCTGCATTTCATTAAAGCCCTAAAAATTTTCGTTAATTCTAAGCGAAACTACATGGTCATAATGCATACAATTTTTAACGGTTGATGCTACATATTATATGTTACTAATACTACCATTAACAAGAAAGAATAAAAGCTTTAAGTTACATCAACCGCAAGTTGACTTCTTCATAAACGTGACAAAAATGAGCCTGATTACAAAAGGGCGTTCTTATAAGCAAACGATTCTGTCACAATAACTACTTTAGAATAAATTCGCCCTTACCACTGTTGCTAGATGTATGAACCTTGCCATCATAATTTTTTATCAGCTCTTCAATGAACTGGCAATCTTGATCAATTACATCTTCACCCATATAAGGAATATGATGCAAAACTGTTTCATCTTCGACCTGGTTGCGTGTGAATAAAAAGAAGGCTAAATTCAGCTTTCCCCTCAAGTTAAAATTTGCATCCCTAAATCAAACTTTCAATAAATTTCTTTAGATCTCTGATTTCTAACAAGCAAAGATATGGCATCACTGATTCAAGGTTGAGTAACACACTAATTAAAATTGCTGTGCTATTGATGTAATATTGCAAATAAACGATCACGAAACAAAGAAGGATGTAAAGAAACATTATTAGGGCATTATTATTGAAATATTTTTGAGCATTTTTTAGTCTTTGTCCACTGCAATGAGCACACCCCTCAAACTATAAAAATAAAGGAATGACCTCTCAAATCAAGAAAAAACGTAACGAGCGCCCCGCCCAGCTAAGAAGAGCAGTTACGACGATGGCAAAGAGACGAACATTTTCATCCATCGAAAAGTAGAACAGAGCAAACAATTCGCTTTTAACTAAAGATGTTATTAGAAGGGTACCGTCCTTCTGATAAACGCCGCCCTCTGATAAACGCCGCCCTCTACTGAACGACACCTTCTATTGAACGCCGCACCTTCAATCAACCATTTGTAAAAAATGCCTCCCTCTGAGAAACGCCGCCCTCTTTTAAACGCCGCATCTTGAAAAGCGGTGTTCATTAGAAAACACACCAAACAAGAAGTAACAAGTAGTTTGTAGGCTTATTATTCTAAAGCTATAAAGTTGTTATGCCATAGAGATAAAGACTCTGACGGAGACAGGGATATTGACATTCCTTTAAATTTCCATTATGTGAACACATTTTTGTAAACTATAAAAATTTTTTCACACAATCTTCATTTTTTTGGAAAAGAACACATTGTTTAGAGTCTGTTTTTAGCTTTTTTCATTGTATTTTTCTTGTAATTTTTCATTTGACACCCTTTTCATTTTCTACTAAACGCCGCCCTCCATTGAACGCCGCACCCAAATTTGGGTTTTGTAATAAACGCTGCGGCGTTCTTTAGAGGAAACACAATATTTAAATAGCATTCTTTCCGAGTGTAATGTTAAGACTGAAATGACCGCCAGCTCTGAAACTAGCACAACCCATGAAACTAGCACAACCCACGAAATAGCCCCCCCCCCCTTCTACAACAAAAGGCAACTTAATGAGCCGTTTATTCAAAGATTTACGGTAATTCGGTGGATATAAAGAACATGTTTTCTTTTACGGCTATCTTTGCGCAAAAAGGCCTTTTCATACACCACTGGTTTTAAATAAAATCCGATTAAAATGTCTCTGCATCCACATTACTCCGAAATAAAAATGGCGCGTGGAGGGCGAGGGAGGGGGTAATGGTAGAAATGGAATTTCGAAATTGGCAAATTTTAAAATTAAACTTGCGCATCTAGGTGCTATCAAGCCCTTCTGTCAAAAGGGAAAGCCCTGCAGGTAAAAACATTTTGAAATGGGGAAGAAATTCAATGTTATCCTATAAGGGATGGCCAGCCAATCCATTAAAATAATAACATATTTAACACACAAAAGACATCATATTTGTTATTATCTAGCGAATAATCTATGACCGAATTTCTTCTCATCACTTGTAACTCAAATAGAAAATGACTTACCATGAAATTCTGTCGCAGTGGTGCCCAAGAATACATTGCTGGGAGTGGAGGAGGAGAATAGACCATTTGCACTGAAACTTGTTGATATGGAAAGCTGAATCCACTTGACACATTTGCCTAAAATGCCAATTGCAAAGTATTACTTCATTGCAAATTTGGAAATATTGGGCACAGGAAGACAGTTACTGCTATAAGGCCCAGTTCAAACAACAGAAAAAAGAAATGGAACTCCTGGGTTCCGTTTTTGTTTGGTTCCACAGTGATGGCCATTGGTCAAACTTCCATCTGAGTATGAATGGTGCGATAAACTAAAATATTTTTGGTTCACAGTTATCTCTTGTCATTGATGCCAAAGCCAGTCAACACAAAGCTAATGTATTCAAGATGGCCCCTGTTCACTTGTAATGGTTGATACCTGGCATCATTGGAAAACAAAATGGATCACAAATAACATTTTATACTCACAACCATTAAAAGTATGGGTTAAAAGCATAAGTTTGGAAAAAACTGATGTTCGCAATACCCTGAATACACCTGCCATATATCAGAACTGTAACACTAATTGTGTCTTTGATTGGATCATTTTTCACTGACAAATACAGTGATAGAGCTCTCAAAATGCAGGATAACTGGCTGTCAAAATAATAAGCTTAACTTTATCAAAGGTTTGCCTCTTTATTTATAAAAAATCTGGTTATTCTATGAATAAAGATATGGTTTGGATATCAACACAAAAATTAATTATTGAAGAATGTGATCACAAAGATTCCAAATTTCATAATATTGCTGCAGCAATGCAATTACAAAAATGCAATTAAAAAGATACCTAATAATTGGAAAAATATTGTAGTATTCCTAATAAAAATTATTGCAACTTTACACAAACAACAGATATCAAAGATTATAAAAGTATGCTCAAAAATATAAAGCAATAATGAAAGACTTTAATTAACTATAATTACCATTCTTGAATTGTCTGTATTTTGTGTTGGAGGAAAGATAAGAGAAATCTTTTTTGTTGTGTTAAGTATTTCATTTCTCTTTTGGAGCAAATTGCCAACTTTTGCTTTGTTTCCTTCAAAGTCAACCTTGAAAAATACAGATAAAGTAAAAACAAAGACTTCAAATTACCTGAGTACTTTTAAAACAAATCATAAATGTTTTGAACAATTTTAACCAAAAATGTTTCAGAATACAAGTACCTACAACAGGCCTTGCAAGGATCTGTGTAGATCTATTATGATAACCAAAAATTTTTGCAAAAAAATGTCACATATCACCACATGCCTGGATGTTTTCAGGTGCATGGTGGTTAGCACGCCTGCTATATTTTTTCCATGAAAGCCTGTACCTGTGCACGTCAGCAAATTGCATTTTGAAAAAAGATTACTTCTTTACCAGAAACTTCTTCTTAAAGGAGAGTTGACACACAAAAATAACTTTGGCTTATTCTATGCAGAATTTGTTGCTGACTTCAAATCTGGAAAAAGTTTTCTTCTTAGATTTGCTGTTTTTCTTATATTTGCACTTTTATCCAACAATTACATCACAGCCAGGACTCAGGAATTTCAAACAAAAATAAAATCACAACATGGGGGAGGGGGGGGCTGAAGCAATAGCCAAATAACAAATGAAATCTAGTGGAGACAGCGGTAAAAGGGATCCTGTAACCTGCTTTGGTTGCAGAAATATGAATTCAAGAAAGAGCCTTGGTTGATGGGAGCTGCGAGTGTGACTAAAAAATAATTTCACTGAACTTTATCATTATATTTTCACAGAGGTTGAGATACTAGGGAATAACCTAGTCTTGCAAAAAGACCATTCCCCACCCAAGTCAAAATTGTTTGCAAAAGAAAATAATGCGCCAGTTGATATTCCTATGACAGCTAAACAGTATTTTCTTCCACTAAGAAATCAAGTTCTTTGACTAAGAGCTAAGAGCCTATTTCGTAACTCCATTTTTTGACTGCCAGGTAACTTATCATTTCCCGAAACCCTTCACACCCGGTGAAAATGGTATATAACCCACACAAGTACGACTTTCAACCAGCCTTTACTATTTAATATCATGATACAGTTAACGTGTTTCAAACATTAATCATAGAATGTTATATGCAGTTCCCTTTAGAGCATCATAGGCATTTAAGCAAATTAGGCCATACAGACAAAGCGGTCTGGACAAAGACGCCTCAATCTGAAACAAAATTCTAGTTTTGCAACACCTGATCTAATTTAGATTGTAGCAATAGCAATGTTTTTAATAGAAATTTCATTTCAGTTTGTACTTCCAGTTTGTTTTTTGTTCATAATATCGTCACTGTTGAGCCATGGGACGACTGTCTGCCCAGGCGGCAGCACTGGTGGGTAGAAAAAACTCAGACAGCTGAAATTTTTCATTTGTTTCGAAATCAGTGTAATAAAACTCTGATTCAGAGTCCCAAACGATTGAAAAAGTCAATTATGTGTCAAATATGCAAAATTAGCTCCTTTCACATGCACAAAATAAACATTTGTCAAAATAAACAACTTTAAGCATTTTCTTAAAGGTTTCTATAGAGAAACACAATACGTGCTGAGAACATGTCACTTGTGACGTCAAAGACGATCGCCCACTCGTGCCGATTTTCGCCTTGAGTCTCAAGTTGTTGGAACAATTGTCGTTTCTCAACTTAAAACGCCTGCATTTCAAAAACGGTAACTGTGATTTAAAAAATTCTTCCGATACCGGAATTTGCTTGTCACAAACTACCTTTTTAGCCAAACTTATTTTTGCGTGTCAGTTCTCCTTTAATGCACCAGAATTCATATTTAAATTACATAATTCTTCATTTAGGCAATTGCATGACCATTATATATAAATGCTTAACAATGGAAAACTGTCTGTGCCGGTTGAGTGGGATGAAAGAAAAACTCAAATGCTTTGCCACATTTACCAGAACAGGAAGTAATTTTTAAATTAAGAATGTAAACAAGAATTTTGGCTGTACAAAATTTGAAAATGGCTTTGAAAAAGGAAACACGCATACTTAGCATACTTAAAGCTTTTTCATCTGACACTTCTCAGAGTAAAAAAAGGCATCAGAATAAGGTTCCGCAAGAACAAGATGGAAAATTTGTACACAGTTGTGGATCGAAACAGGCCAATCAAAAAACCAGAGCACATGACCAGTATAGTTGTCCAATCAGTACACCTCGGTGCAATTAGTCTAATCAGTAGGCCAGGAGTTGTTCACAAAGTGGGACTACAAGGGGGAGTGAAAAATCAACCAGAAACTTGAGTGACTCAATTTTCTTCTAAATTGGTTTTTATGACAGTGTGTAAGTAGACCAGACTGCAAAGTTTGGTCTTCAAAAAGAACATGTTCCCTAAACAATTATTTTCATTCTTCATTCTGCCCATGCATTTTTAAGAATATGCTACTGAGTCTGCCCATAGTATTTGTTTATATGGTCGTGTTCTCCGCAAATGTTATACCTTATAAACTTCTTGCATTGCAGGAGGGGGGGCTGCACATAGTTTTGCTCCCATTCAGTACCATGTTATTAAGAAAATAAATTACGGTTTGACAATGATTGCCAGACTGCAGAGTATGGCAGTTTCCAATGTGAGATCTCGGTCGTGCAAGAGCAAAATTTCAAGTGTGCAAGTGTGCACTTTGGTTGTGCACAATATTCCACACAACTATGTTAAATCCTGATGATATCAATTGAGAAGGGAATATAAGGATGACTGATATTATTTTGTTGTCCAATCAATCAAGATTACGTCGATCCTGAAGAAATTTGAATTCTTCATTTGCCCTTAAGCAATAGGACACATCCATGTCACGCTCAGATTTCAAAATGCCACACCCTTTACCGGGTGTGATGGGACATTGTAGAAAAAATATCTCGGGTGTGCACTTGCCGTACTCTGCAGTCTGGATGACTGGGAGGGCTCCAGCTGGCTAGCGATCTACCGACGGTTCCTAAGCTAAGCAATTCGTGATTAACTGCTATTTACCTTCGCTTCGTCCGCCTTCTTCAGTTTTTTCGACCGGCAAAGGCGGATATACTCATTTTTTATCTTTTTCTTCCAATTTGAAATGGCCTCTTCATGTTTCTTGGTATCATTTGCCATTTCAGAACGATCTCATCAACTCAACACAGCATGTGTGCCTTCTTCCAACCAAAGGCCACTTTCTCTTTTATTCCCGCCATGACAATGCCGTTGTTGTTGCTGCATTGCTCTCCTTCACAGCCAACTAGTAGGAGGCTGTGAGATCATCAAGCCAAGAGAAGAGGAGAGAGATCAAGGGAGCGAAACTGGATACCGTGATTCTGTGTACCTTAACGAAGTCATAAATCTGGCAAGGACTCAAAGCACCTTTTGACTTGTTGCAGTATGAATACAAGTGAGAACATAATATAATTATAGCTAAAGTTCAATGGTAGTAGCTGAGTTTCGCGGCTCTTGTCAGACCTTTAATCATGTGACGGCCTAGCCTGTATATATGTCCTGTAAAATCCAAATCAAAACTTGAAACCAAAATGAACTTTCTTTTAGATTTAACATAAAAGTTTTTTGTATATAGTTAGCAAGCAAAATATTGCACATGCCTAATGGCAGGTACTATTTTCGCCGTGGATATTGTTCCGGCACCGGTCCACTTGGAAGGATTTATCCTTTTTTCGGGAATTTTGGTCGATTGGAAGAATAAAAGAAGGATTTACAAATTAGAAGGAATTTGGAAGGATTTTCTAAGAAGTTGAGAGGAATTTGTGGAAATACGGCAAAATATCTAGAAAGTGAATGCTAAAGATTTGTGTCACTGTGCCCTAAGCCACAGAATAGAGATTACATTAATGTGCCTCAGCCCTCTTAGAGCTTTCACTTTTCGCATGTTTATACGGCTAAAGCAAATTAACACCTCCAACCGATAAGTAATTGTTGTTGAAAATATTGTCAAGTTATTGTTTTATTTTATGAAATACAATGACTTCTGCAATGTCTGGTTTGCAGGATAGTTTTTTACAAGATCTTGGGTGCGCCAACATCCCAACACCTCAGGTGCAGGGGCGCGAAGTTACCCAAAAATAGGATGTACCTGAAATTTCAATTTTTCTGGATTTAATTTGATTAAAGCTACAATCCTGGACAAAAAGGTTGAGACAAAATGCAATTGTTGTAATTTTCTACTTTACCTTGACCCTGTAAATTTGTTCCCCAAATAAACTCCAATCCTAGTAGGCCAAATTTTGCATATTTAATGAGCCCCCATAGAGTTTAATTGACCCATTGAGGTGCACCTTTAAAGATCATTTTCGTAGAAACTGCTGAAGACAATTAACATTACATTATTTTGGACTAAAAATATTTTTGTGCTTTGATTTATACTTTGATGTGATATTTTAGAAAGAGTTATTAAGTGAAGTTGTAAATTTAATGAGCTTGAACATCATTAAAAAGTACAAAACGAGCTATGTATTTGTATGGAAACTTGGAGATTGCTTTTACAAGCACCCCTTCGTATAAGCCCCCCTTGAATAGACCCCAATCTAAAAATTATCTAAATTGATAACCCCCCTGGAGCAAGAATTTAAGGTACTCAATAAATTATCCTCTGCATAACTGATTAATACCCATAGAGATGTAACTACCATTGTGGCGTCAAAACCCACCATTTCTAGAACGAACGTAGGTAATAGGGCAATAAAAAATTGAGTAATAGGGCAGAAGGTAATCGGAAGGATTTTTCATACATTTTGGAAGGAATTTTTAGCAAAAAATAGGGATTTTTTCGGGAATTTGGTTGAGCGAAAAGTGGAAGCACTGACTATTTTGTGATATGTGGCAAAACAGGGCCAGCGGCAGTTATTAGTATTGTGCACAAGGGCCAGAGTGCAAAGCATTTTTTGTGCGCGGGGAATTATTTTATGTCGCTAACGCTTGCGCGGGAACAAATCATGTTGCAAAATGACAGGTTAAAAGCTGCGGGATTTCATTTTTAAATAGAACTTTTAGGGCTCAAGATTAGGCTATTCGCGGAATTCACACGAAAGTCCATGTTCCAACTGCTCGGATTAATCTAAATTTGCAAAAATGCGAGGACGTGATTTCATTTCTCATTTCAAAAATCTTCACACACGAATTCCCTATCAGCTATAATACAAATAAAATGAACTACTTCTATTACAATTACTTCTTTAATATATATTAAATAAAGTTGTTGCTGTTCTACCTAGGGATTGTGTTTTGTTTAGGGAATTTATTAACTTTGCAGGAACCCTTTTCTTTTAAACATGGAAATTGTGGGGTTCATTCTGATGTTTCTTGGAATCTCAAAATCATCTTGGATTTGAGCAAAAAATTATTGCGCGGGGAACGCGTTCGAAAAACAGTAGCAAAAGTAGAAATTTGCCAATTTTCAGCATCAACAAGGCGGGCTCAGCCCCCTGAGCACTACATTCCTGATGACTATCTATCCCACAGCCAAGTCAAGACAGTGAGTGGCTCCTTGCTTCATCAACTATCATCTTTAAAACCAGTTTGACCATGCCAAGATGTATTGGACTATTATTTAATATTGTTTCTCCAAGTCAACGATGTTTGAAGTATTTAATTTTTGTTGACTTGTTGTGATTGTCTGGTACTACCTTTTACTCACCTCTAGACGTTCTGTCAGACAATTGGTCAAGGTAGTGAGCAGAGGTGTATACCAGTCTGTGATATGGTTGCATCAGACCCCTCTCCTTTTTTATATCATGTAATTTTTGAAAGCATATTTTATTTTTCAATGATGCAATTTTCTATTTACTATCATATTTGGATTCATATGAGAAGATTCTAAAAATCAGGCCTCACTATTACCCAGTGAAAATCTCCAATCTTACCAATCTTCTTAATTTATCATCATCCATGTTCCTTGTCATAGATCTCTCATCCTTGACTTTTCTTGCCACTCATCTCCCTAGATTTGTCTTTCTGCATTATCCAATTTCAATATTTCAATACTTTCGAAGGATTCAAATGCCAAAAGCAAAATTTTCTGGCATGCTGGTAACCACATGCATTGAAAGGTTAAGGCACACTGCAATGAGGTGTGATCAGATATCATAAAATGCAGATCTTACCATTTTTGATAGTCTTTCTACTATAATATGTACTTGTGAAAATACTTGAGGTTGCATCGTTGTTTGTAAAAGCTTATGAAGCTTATAAACCAAATAGTTTTACCGAATTATTTAGCAAAAATAATACAACTTTTTTAAAAAACGAGTATTATGCCCTCTGGAAATGCTAGCACACACAAAAGAAATAAGAAAATCGATTATGAAACATATGTTACATGTTACATATAATTACACATTACATATAATTAAAACCTGTATAAAGTCTAGGAATATGGTTTATTTGATGGTTTTTATATGGTTGTTGATGGTCTGTTATGATTATTGCTCATCTTTAGTATGTTAATTAATATTAGTTGTCTTCTAGGTATTTAGAATATGGTAGCATTGACAAAGTGAGTGATGTCTTTCCTCCTGTCTTCTACCTTAAGAAGGCACTGCCTGATATCTCCATTGGCACCACGTGTAAGCAGTGTTCTTGCAAGGAAGAAAAATGCATTGGACCAGAGGTATTATTCATTATTCTTAAGGACAGAGCACTGACATTTTCAAAGTACCGACTTCCTGTGGGCTTTGGGGCTTGATCACTCTTTGGTTTCATTTCAATAGTACTTTATAATGCAGAACAATATTTTCTCATTTTATGTAAAGGCTCATCAAAATTTTATCATTCAATAGCTGCTACTTTCTGTCAATTTGGTATAAATTTTTTTCTTGAAGAATGGCAAAATTGAACTCAGTTCAATAACCGACCTTCAATTATTAAGATAATTATGATTATGATTAAGATGAGGATGAGGCAAATGACGCTGTTTGAATATAATAATAGCTGCATAAAATTTTTCTCACCAAAAATAATAGTTACACTGTCTGGATTCTCAAAATTCTTAAAAGCAAAATAAATTGTAACAAAGGTTAGCCTCTTGAAAATTTATTGAAAGAAAATTTTGTCAAAATATTGGTCCGAAAATTTTGTAAAGAAGTTAGAAGCCGTTTTTTGTAGTTAATGTCATCTGCGCGAATTTCACTTATGATAAACAAGACTATTCAAATTTTCATCGTAGGCAATTCAGCAGCACTACGGAAAATAAGTCTGAGAAGAAGTCATTCTTTCAAAAACTCTTAGGTCCAGAATCAGTTGTTGCCTCCCCAAATTTCAAGAGCAGATGGCTTGTTGCATTGCCAGCATTTGCAACCCACATGTGCATAGGTGCACCATATGCTTGGTCTGCAATGAGCTGGCCTCTGACGCGGGAGCATGGATTTGTGACGTCAGCAGCCTCCGACTGGTCACTTGCAGAGACAACCCTGCCTCTGTCTATCGTTTTCTTGATGCATGGAGTCGTTGCAGCATTGGCGGGAAAATGGCAGATGAAGGTAGGACCGCGAGCTGCTATTGCTGCTGCTGGAGTTTGCTTTGGTGGAGGCTTGCTCCTCGGGGGCCTTGGTATATCTACCCATAATCTCTGGCTTGTCTACTTCGGCTATGGTTTTCTTGGTGGTACCGGACTAGGACTTGCATACACTCCTCCAGTGCAGGCACTGATTAACTGGTTCCCTGACAAAAAGGGTGTTGCCTCTGGTTTGACAATCGCAGGCTTTGGCTCAGGAGCATTGGTGTTTGAACCACTTGTTAACTTCTTACGTGGGAAATTCGCAAAGATGCCTGAATTCCTTGGGACTCATGACCAAGTTCAAACAATTCTAGAAAATGGAAAGTTATTCGCTGATGTTGGTGGTCAGTTAAAAGAGGTTGTCTTGGCAACAGCTGCTGATTTAGCGATTCTGCCATACAAAGGACTTTCAGAAGGATTGTATTTGGTTGGAAGTGGAGACTCTGGCAATGCTGCTGTTCTTGCCACTATTGGCCTAGCCTACTTTGGTGTAATGTTGGCATCAGCATTTTCAATGCGTTTGCCAGCACCAGGATATGTTCCAGCTGGCTACATCCCACCCCAGACATCATTAGGGGCAGGGCTCCAGAATGTCAGTGTTGATACGGTGATGAAGACTCCACAGTTTTATCTGTTAGCGACGGTTTTGTTCTGCGTTGCGACTGGTGGCATGGGGATGTTTAGTGTAGCTAAACCCATGGTCTCTGACGTGTTCAGCAGTGCACTACCATCAGTTGTCACCGCAGCCTTCGGTTCTACCTTTCTTCTTCTCCTTGCTGCTGGCAACCTTGGTGGTCGACTTGGATGGTCTGCATTTTCTGATAAATTCGGACGTCGCAACACTTTCCATGTAATTGCCCTAGGAAGCTTGCCCCTCTACCTTGGAGTACCTTTCCTTGTTGATTCTGTCGTGAACACACATTCAGTACTGCCTTTGTATTTATTCTGCACCTCCACCGCCCTTGCTATCAGCTTATACGGTGGTGCATATGCATCCCTTCCTGCATACGAGGCCGACCTCTTTGGCTCGAAATACGTTGGTGCTATTCATGGAAGGTTTCTACTAGCGAGCTCTGCAGCATCACTAGCTGGTCCTACGATTCTGTTGACACTAAGGCAATACGCAGAACGAACAGCAATTGCAGATCTCCTTTCCAAGTGCGATCCTGCGAAGTTTAAAGCGTGCTTTGGAGAAGAAATTGACAAATGCCAATCGTTGATTGAAGCAAAGACCATTACAATCAACAAATTGATGGACATTGTGCCGGTTGGGACGCAAGATCCAACTCCTTACCTCTACAACACGACCATGTTTACAATGGCGGGCTTCATGGCCTTAGCTGCTCTCAGCAATTACTTGGTCAAGAATGTTGACCGAAAGTATTTTGAAAAAGTTGCAGAAAAGAAGCAATGAGAATTCCAGAAAAAAGTGAAATGAACTGAATTTTCATTCGTTTCATAACAATTTTGTTTGAGGAGTGTTGAGGGTTTTAGCGTTGCTTGTCAACAATTCTATGTTTGATATGGTTACTAGTGTGTCACAATTAAAGCAATAGTCTAACAATAAACGAATTTGTAAGTTGCATAAATATGGATATTCTGAATAGGCCGTTATGACGCTCAGGCTGGGGGTAAGCACAGGACAGTAGACATTACTGGATCGTAATAATAAAAGTTCACGTGAACCCAAAAAAGTATTACCACTAACCTCGGCGATTCTAATCATTTACAAATGCATTAAGTCATTTTGCTAATCTTTCTTAGGCATCTGAAGGCATTGCTTACGAGAATCCGGGCCGTCTAGGAAAAGTCTTTTCCCGCCAAGCCTAGGAAATGATACTATCATAATGTTAGTGAATAATATCTGAATCAACCAATTTTCATCAGAAATTTATAAGAAACTTTCTGATGATAGCAATGTAAACAAATTTTAAAATTAGCGTTTTGTGCATGAAGATGTGTTTTCGATCATTTAGTTTTGAATCAGTGGGGGTTGAATCAGTGGGGGTTTCAGACATTAACCAATGTTTGTGTTTTAATTGAGCACGATTTTTAATCAAATCTTCTAGTTTATTTTCGTATGTGAAACAAGATATTTCTTCAAATATAAGTAACTTTGTCAAGTTTTGTGTTTTTAAGTTCATGCATGCAATAAGCAAGGATAATAATATATTGATTCTATTTTAAATCACAGCAAAGGTCTCTGCTACTCGTTTTTTAATAATCGCAGTCTTGTTGCTATCAGAAAAACGATAGTTTAAGATGACGTCACGATTCTAAAATAATGCAATCTTTGAGTTAAAAATAACATTTTCCAGAAGTTGGCTTAACATGTCAAATTCTTAAAAATGTATAAGGCGTTGGGGCAGGAAAAGTCGAGTTCCGAGGAATTCATATTTATCACTGATGGTTATTCAGTTAAGGTAAAATATCCTGTCACGAATGATCTTGAAATATTATTCTATACATTCGTTTTGTATAGTATTATACATAACAAATATCATTCTTGAAATATTATTCTATACATTCGTTTTGATATTGATGAAGTGAAACCTTTCCACCAATTAGTTGCTAGTGATTTCAGTGGTGGTTGATGGCTAAAGCAACAATCTGAACATGTTATATAAACCCAACAATAGTAATATTTTCCATCTTAGGTAACCATAAATATCTATGAAATGAATGCTGGACTGTCTTGTAGCGTAAAAAGAATGCTGGAAGGTATTTGGTCAGTAAATCCAGGATATTTTAAAAAAGATCTGAAGCAACTTATATTCTTTGTGCCTGTGCGATAGCTTTTCGCTTTGGAAAAACTCGGTGACCAATTCATGAAAGTAAGAAACCTCAAAGGTTTGAAAGATTAGAGTTTGTACCGTGGCTGATAAGATTTCTTGGAAAGATCCTTTGCCTTCCCCCCCCCCCCCAAGTTGGTGGCTGCTTTTATAAAATAATATATCTTTGCCAATCATTTAACTGAACCAGAAAAGCAACCCTCAAATCATGATGCATGATTTGTAGAGAAAAAGTAGCAATACAATTGTAGATACGGGGAAAGGTCTTCGAAAAAATATCCAACTAACCACCCAAAGTTTTTACGAAATTTTTCGATGTCTTGGCATCTCTATCTACCAAACAAAAGCCAGTAAATTTTCATCAGATGCCAACATTAGATTTTCTTACAAGTAAAGTTACACTTCTAAAATGGTATGAAAACGAGAAATACACTAGAAGCTGATTTAAGATTAATCAATCACCTTGAAATTTGTAGGAAATGATCGTTTATAAACTGCTTTATACCTGAGGTATTGGTTGTGGTAATGTACCCAATGAGAAGCCAGATGTTTAACATTAAGGATAAAGCACCATCACACAAATGGTGGAATGCTAGTCGTATTTAAGGTGTCCAGGCCGATTTGTTCTGCGTTGATGTTGCATCTTTCTGTCCTAAAATTACACGCGAAAAGCGCTTCAACATTTGAAAAACAGAAGTATTTAGATTTACAAAACTTTCAAAGTTTCAACTGGAAAGAACACTTCAAGGCATGTATAACCAAGTTTGTATAGCAGCATTGTAGGACAGTAATTTCGAATTTGCTACTCTTTTTGAGAGTACTGCAATGTCGAACACGTCTGATGTCGCACACATAAAACAGACGTCTCAAAGGAGTCCTTGGTGAGCTTTTTTTGAAACAACAAAGTTTAGTAAGAAAATCAACATTTAAATTCTTTGTAAGACATATTGTTACGTAAATATTTATACTAAATTCACTCTCACGTGGTAAAAAATGGACATATCTTCTGACAACGAACCTCAACACCATGGCTCTAAACCTGTCGCATTTTCAATGCATTTCAAACCATGATAAAGAAGTCTTTACTAGCTTTTTCCTAGTTTAGATCTGTTGAAATAATTCAAGTCCTATCTTGCAAGCTGATCGACCAATTTGAAAAAGAAAATCGTGTATTAGGTACTTGAAAATTGTTCTTGATGTATTAACATTGTTGGTTAACGATGAACAAAATACATTTTGCGACTGATATTGTACTATTTTAAGACAAAAATATAGGTCTTAAAGAGCAGGGTTGATATGCAATCTAGAAAAAGTGGAATGGAAACAGAGAAAGCCAACGTCACTGAAATTAAGAAAACGATTGTTGATATGGTGATTGTTAATGATTTAGAGGAAGTAGAGGAGATCAATTATCTAGGAGTTCTTTTTTGCCCCAAAGTGATTTTTTCGATCTGAAAAAAGAATTGGAACAGCAATGACCGCAGTGTTAAATAAGAAAGAATCTTGTGCATTCTGATTTGTGATTGCAAAAGATTGGTGGGTGCTGCAGAGATCTGGTAAAAGACGATGGAAGCATTTGGGATTCTTTTTTGTCTTTATTCAAAGTTGGGACAACTGTTTTGTATAGACCGATAATAGAAACAAACTACTTAGCAAAATGAACTGAAAAACTAAAGTAAATTGTGGAGGAGTTTGAACAACATTAATATTTTCATTAATGAAGGCCAATTATTTACAAGGAATCCATAAAAAATTACAATAAGAAAATTAGAAAAATACAGTTTGCAAAAAGTTGCCAAAATTTGTATAATAATGTCTCCTATACATTTGCTACATCAAGCTAGGATTAAGATTTGATTTTGTTTTGTAGATCTGCAGGTTTCTCTGATAAAAAATTACTAAATTATCAGTTTCCAACAATTTCCAACAACAAGCATTGTCCTTGTATGCAATTCTTGTGGCACTTTCTTGAATTTTTTCTATCTAACTGTTCAAATTTATAAAGTGAAAAACTAAATTCAAACGAAAATAGCTAAACTAGGACAAACAAATGTCTTTATCAACCGTTTAGCTTCTCCTGATCCACGAGAACTGAGATACAAGTTAGAAGCTTCTGATCAGCTGTTTTGCAGAGGACATGTTTTTGAAACCTAATTTCTTCTCAAGAGCAATGACTTATAGCTTCTCCATGTCATTTTCTTCTGTCTGGGTCTCGCTAATGTGCATCTAACTCTTTCTTTGTTTGCCCCGAACAGAGTAATGTGACATTAATCTTTCTTTAATTTCATATAGTTCTCTAGGAGCCATGTTGTTAGTAGGCTTGCATCTCGCTCTAAACTTTATATTATATTTTCTACCTTAGAGTCGCAAGTGTATAAAGTACTATAGTTGGCTCTGTTGCATAATTCAGCTCCATTCATCAGAAGATACCTGTCCCTCTAATAAATATTGAAAGAAAGGGCCCTAACACTGAGCCTTGAGGTACTTCAAATATAGTTTCTCTGTACAAAAGGAACCACTGATTTTGACCTCTTATATTTTCTTCATTGGATTGCTATGAATTAGTGCAAGGAAAGCTCTGCTAAGACCTTGAGCTGGCAATTTCCTAACAGTGGCTCTTGACTTAGGCAGTCAAAGGCTTCGGAAAGATCCATCAGAAGTGCTCCAGCTACGCCCTCACTATCCATCGCTATCTCGCAACGATTAAGTCTTTTCGAAATTGCAAAGTAAGGAAGACAGAAAGCACCCATCATTTGCTTATACTTGAGTTTCTCAGAAATCTTAGAAACCGATGACAGAACAATTATTGGCTTGACATTTTTTCTATATGGGCGTGGGCGTCATCTCTTTTTGAAAGAGTAAGGATATGCCCCTGCGCTCAGTTCGCCCATCCTAGATGTACATTCTCTTCGCAGATACCTAGCTTAATTATCTTGGTCATTGCATCCATTCTTACCCTGTCATCTTGCAAGGCAGCTGCGAGGAACTTCTATATCAAGAAAGACTGATATCAGGCTCCATTTTATCACTGCACGACTATATTGAAATTTAAAAAACAAAACTGAGGTTGTATGAGGCTCTTTGCGGGAGAGGAAGATATACGGCAAAAAGGTTTTCTTTGGTTTTCTTTTTTTAGTTGGTGATGCAAGGGAAAGGCCCGGAAGCCTGTAGCGAAGCTCTAACAAGGGAAAGGATGGAGATATATCTGATCTCCTTAAAGAATGTCTGTGGGAAAATCTGTAAAAATTGAGAGATCGGTGACACAACACAGAAGAGAAAAAAAAGTTGAAGAGATTGAAAGAATGGCTTCGGATAGGATTTTGCTAAGAAGGCACAGGGAAGATTTAGGAGCACCACCTCAAATATGAGTACAGTACTCCAGGGAAGGACAGATTTGGGATTTACAAATGGTTAAAAGCTGTAATGGTGAGAAGAATCAACGTACTCGAGAGAGAAACCCAAGTTTTTGAGACAAATGTTTAGCAACAGTAGAAATGTGAGATTTCCACTTAAGGTTTGATGACACAGAAGGGCCTAGTTTTGAAAAAGAAGTAGAAATGTCCAATTCAGCACCGTTCATGGAAACAGAGGAAAGCCAGGGTTGTGTTTGCGTGAAATGATAACCTATATGGTTTCAAACTAATTGAACTTTACAAGATTGTCTTTAACTCACTTCTCTATTTTTGCAAAGTCATCAGTATGAAGTGAGGCTGAAAGGCCTCTTTGGAGGGGGGTGTTGATAGCAGAATTATGTAGAGAATCAAAGGAAAATGAAGAGCTTAGACAAGTGTCATCGGCATAAAATTGAATACTTGTAGCGGTGGAAGTTGGTATATCATTTATGAAAGGAATGAATAAGACAGGAGACATGACCGAACCCTGAGGAACAACAACATTAATTGCGTAGGGATTAGAGAGGTAGCTGTCAACTCTAATGGCTATTGACCTATCAGAAAGAAACCTGCCAATCAAATTTATAAGGGTTTGGTACAGACCGTTCATGGAGAGTTTAGAATGATGTGCGAGACGCGATCAAAGGCTTTTGAGATGTCGAACAGATCCCTCTACTCTCACCAAAGGACTCGAGTTGAGCAGGTAACCAAACATTAATGGCATACGATAGAAGATCAGCAATAGATCTAGCTCATCGAAATCCATACTCATGTTCAGGGAGATTTTAAGAAACGTAAGTAGTTGTATTATGAAAATGGTTTCCATTGCAAGATATGAGGGAAGTGATAGTGATTGGGCGATTGTTGATGGAGTCAGACTTGTCTTTTTAGAGAAGAGGTAGGCTAGTTTAAAGGACTAACCCATGGATAAAAACAAGTAAATGGGAGAGCTGGAAAAGTTTACTGGTGCAAGTTCTGGGGCACAAGTTCTGAGAATAATTGCTGGTATATCAGATTT